TGCCTTCAAGAAACTTACATTCTAACCTCATGTTAGAATGTAAATTTATAATAATAAATCATATTATATAATCATATAATTATATAAATTATATAATCATATAATAAAAAATCATAAAATTTATATAAAATAAATGCAAGGAGAGAGCTGCTGCTAAGGGGATGAGTAAAGGCTTTATGTAGAAGACTGTGCACCAGCTGAATCTTGAAAGAAACAAAGTATTGTATGAGGCCGAGGTGAGGAGAAGCATTCCAGATGTCGACAACAGCCAGTACAAAGGCATGGAAATAGGAGATGGAATAGCTAACGTAGGAACAGCCAGAGGGCCAAGCATTGTAGAGCTGGATAAACAGCTTGTACGTCAATGCGTAAATCTTTTTTTTTTAATTATTTTTTTTTTAGTTTTCAAAATTCACTTTTATAAGATTTTGAGTTCCAAATTTTCTTCTCCTTCCCTCTCTCCCCAAACATCCCCAAGATGGCAAACAATCTGATATAGGCTATACATGTACAATCATATTAAACACATTTCCACATTAGTCATGTTGTGAAAGAAGAATCAGAGCAAAAGGAAAAAAACCATGAGAAAGAAAAAACAAAAAAAAAATGAAAACAGTATGCTTCGATCTACATTCAGACTCCATAGTTCTTTCTCTGCATGTGAGTAGTATTTTCCTTTGTACTTGTCTTAGATCATTGTGTTGCTTCGAAGAGCCAAATTTATCAAAGTTGATCATCATACCATGTTGCTGTTACTACATACAATGTTCTCTTGGTTCTGCTCACTTCACTGGGCATCAGTTAATTTAAGTCTTTCCAGGTTTTTCTGAAACCTGCCTGCTCATCATTTCTTATAGCACCATTCCATTGATATACCACAACTTGTTCAGCCATTCTCCAATGGATGGACGTCCCCTCACTTTCCAATTCTTTGCCACCACAAAAAGAGCTGCTGTAAATATTTTGTACATGTGGGCCCTTTTCCATTTTTTATGATCTCTTTGGGATACAGACCTAGTAGTGGTATTGATAGAACGAAGGGTATGCACAGTTTTATAGCCCTTTGGGCATAGTTCCAAATAGCTTTACAGAATAGTTCAATCAGTTCACAACTCCACCAACAATGCATTAATGTTCCAATTTTCCCACATCTTCTCCAACATTTATCATTTTCCTTTCCTGTCATATTAGCCAATCTGATAGATGTGAGGGGGTACCTCAGAGTAGTTTTGAGTTACATTTTTCTGATCAACAGTGATTTAGAGCATTTTTTCTTATGACTATAGATAGCTTTAATTTGTCTGAAAACTGCCTGTTTATATGCTTTAACCATTTATCAATTGGGGAATGACTTGTATTCTTATAAATTTGACTCAGTTCTCTATATATTTTAGAAATAGGGCTTTTATCAGAAATACTGGCAGTAAAAATTGTTTCCCAGCTTTCTGCTTTCCTTCTAACCTTGGTTGCATTGGCTTTGTTTGTGCAAAACCTTTTTAATTTAATGTAATCAAAACTATCCATTTTGCATTTCATAATGTTCTCTATCTCATTTGGTCATAAACTCCTCCCTTCTCCATATATCTGACAGGTAAACTATTCCTTGCTCTCCTGATTTGCTTATGGTATCACATTTTATGTCTAAATTATATACCCACCATATCTTGGTATACAGTGTAAGATGTTGGTCTGTGCCTAGCTTTTGCCATACTGCTTTCCAGCAGTTTTTGTCAAATAGTGATTTCTTAGAAGCTGGAGTCTAGGTTTATCAAACAGGACATTACTGTAGTCATTGACTACTGTGTTTTGTGTACCCAAGCTACGCTACTGATCCACCACTCTATTTGTTAATCAGTACCAAATAGTTTTGATGATTGCTGCTTTATAATATAGTTTTAGATCCATCAGTGTGTAAATCTTGAATAGGTGATGCAGATAGGTCCAGAATTGAAGAAAAGACAGGGCTGGATTACATGTTTGGCACACATTTGCCATTTAATATCTGCTGGTTGAATTAATGAATCACATTGGGAAAACTGTAAAGTGTTTTAAGGATCTCAAAACACTGGTTGCCACAAAAGTCCACATCTTTGGGGCCACAAAGCACAGAATACATTCACTAAACAAGTATGGGTTAAGTGCCTACTATATACTAGGTACTGTGGATAAAGATATACAAAACGGTTCCTGCTCTCCAGATTACCTTCTACTGGGGGAAATAATAGAACTGTAGAGTGGAAGGGATCTCATTGGTTATCTAGTGCAATCCATATTTCTCCCCCTCAAATCCTTACTACAGCCTGTATAATGGTAATCCAGACTCTGCTCAAGGAGCTATGAGGGGAAACCCACAAGGTGGTAAAGGTCAATAGTCGATAAACATTTACCAAGTGCCTACTATGTGCCGGGCACAGTGCGAAGTGATAAAGATGCAAAGAAAGGCAAAAGACAGACCCTGTTCTGAAGGAGTTAACAGTCTAATGGAAAAAGACATAAACTATAAAAAGAAGCTGAAATAGAAGAAGAAAGTATAATGAAGTCCTGCAGGGGAATGATGAGGTGTGTGCCCTGGGCCTCCTCTTGAAATACAGGGTCTGAGTGAGGAGCCTAAGGGTGGGGTAACAGATCTGTTTCAGAGTTGATTTGATTTTGCAGAAAGATAGGTCTGTGGAGACTAACAAATGGGGTTGATGGAAGTTTTTCCTTCCATTATGCCTAAATCTGCCTCTAGAAAACATCTACCTATTGCTCTTAGAGCTAGGCATTAGATCAAATCCGTCCTTCAGTGCAAAAAATCTTTTCTGGTAGGGGTGGGGGGCAGTGCTGGGGGCTGGACATTGGGGAGAGCTCATGGAAGAAGTGACATTTGACCTTGAGCCCTGAAGGCTTAAAAAGGCAGAAATTTTGGATGGGGAGGGTGAAGGGTATGTTTGAAGTAAACATAATGAACAAAAATGTACAAGTAAGAGATCATTGAGCACTTTAGGAAAATAGGAAATATTAGTTTGTTGGGCCAAAGTAATATTCCTAAAGCACAGAGCTAAGCAACTCTCTTGCTCAAGAAGATCTACTGGTTCTCTATTGCCTCTAGGATAAAATAACATTTGTTTGGATTTAAGGCCCTTTACACACAGACTGCTTCTGGCCTACTTTCAAGCTCTACATTCCAGCTAGATTAGCCTTTGTTTCCCTCAACATTCTAAGTCCCATGCTGTCCCCATGTCTAGAGTGCATCCTCTCTCAACATGTCTCTTAGAATCCCTCTTTTTTCAAAACTCAGCTCAAGTACCGCATCCTACATGAGGCCTTTTCTTATTCCCCTACCTGGCAACCCCAAAATCCCCTTCCCCATTACGTTGTGTTTACTTTGTATATATTTTGTCTTTTTATATGTGTACATGTTGTTTTCCCCAAGAGAACATAAACTCCTTGAAGAAAAGGATTATTTCTCTATTTGTATTTTCAGAACTTAGTGCCTGACACATAGCAGGTGCTTAATGTTTGTGGATAGATTGATTTGTTCAAGGCAATAAAAGAGGACAGGGTTGGAGAGATAAATAGGGACCAGATGGTGGAGAGTGAGGCCTGTATTCCAGGCATTTAGACTTCATTCAGTGGGCAAAAAAGTGAAGATCGGGCGAAAGAAGTAGCATGATTAGAAATGTGCTTTCATGATTTTTAGCTGGCAGCTGCTGCCAAAAAGCCAGAAGTATTTGGATAAAAAAGTACAAGCCTTCGAAACAAGATGAAGAAAACCAAACAAAAATTATTTGTGTAATTCTATTTATAAAGAAATAATGTAGGTTTTCCTAGCTATACTGTACCGATTTTCCTTAACCAAATTAGTCTTAATATTTTTTAAAAGCCCATCTGCAGGGCACAGCTAGGTGGTGCAGTGGACAGAGCACCAGCCCTGAAGTCAGGATGGACCTGAGTTCAAAACCAGCTTCAGACAAAACACTTGACATTTACTAGCTGTGTGACCCTAGGCAAGTCACACATTGCCTAAATAAAAAAAAAAAAAGTCCATATGCACACATATATACCTAACAATGTGGCAAAAAAATGTTACTGCTATTTCCCACTGTTCTGCTTTCGAAGTGTTACTCCTGACAGAATTTAGGATAAAATACAAATTGTTCTATTGCATTGATATAATGGTATCCAAAGAGTAAGTTCACATCATGTTTTTATTTTAACTAATCTTCTGACTTTGGCCCCTTCCCGGTTTAACTTGTCCTTAAATTGTTTCTTTGAAGCAATTAGGTCTGTGATAAACTTTCCTGACCTTACTAAAATGACTGCGACTTCAGGCTTATCCAAGGACTTTCTTAGAGTCCTGTAGTTGTTGAGTTGTCCCCCCCCCCCCACATTACCTTGAATCTACTTTATACCGGGTGTCCCAGAAGTCTTAGTGCAGTTTAAAACTTAATTATTAAGGTTTTTGGAACAGACACGCTAATGTATCGTCTCCACCTATAGAATGCATGCTCCTTGAGGGAAGGGGATGTTTCATTTGCTTTTGAATTTCTAGGGCCTGGCATAGTAACTGGCACAAGGCTGGCACTTAATGGGCTTGCTGACTAGGTATAATAATAAGAAATAATAACGATAACTACCGTTTATGTAGTGCCTACTATGTGCCCAAGCACCTGTGCTAAGCGCTTTGCAATTATTTCAAATCTCTTAGCTGGGCAAACCGCAGCACCTGAAGACCCAAGAGTAAGTGGATAAAGGGAAGACACAAGGCAGGACTGCCCTAGATTCAAGAGCACAGACTACAGGTGCAGACTGGGACTAGGGTAGGTGGGGTCCTATCAGAGCATGACCTCCCAAAGCACCCTTCCCCACCCCCTTTAAATTTGGTGTCTCAAATGAACTACGCCGGAGGGCCCGCCTCCTAGCGACGTTTAGAGGCCATTCAGAACTTCTGATTGGCTGTTCCCTCCGTCAGTCAAGCCTGACGGCGATTCCACCTCCCTCCTCCCAGACCCAGTCGGCCTAACGCATCCACGCGCGCAAGGGAGCCTCTCGAGACCCCTACACGGTGGGAGGGAAGCGCGTGGACCCCATCGAGAGAGCCGCGCCTCTTCACACGGACGCCCAGGACTACGAGGTACGCTGGCGTTGGACGCTACCCCCGCCTGGCGCCCTCCCGTCCCGCCGTTGCGCTCTTCCGCCGGTTAACTGGGGATCGCGGCGTGAAGCTTATTCGCCAAATCCTATACCTAGCATCGCGAGAACGGGGAGGGCGCGTGACTTCCGGGCTCTCTGGTTTCCTGGGAGACCCTTGTTTATTACCTTCCTAGCCACGTGTTTCCGAGCTCTTCTTGGAAGAAGGCAGCTGAGGGCGCTCGTGGGACCCCCGGGGTGGAGAGAGAGTGATTCTTTCCCCCCTGGAGAGGGGAGTCATGGGTTTATCATTCAGTGTGACCCTCTTGGCAGGACCTCAGCACACACTTTTATTAGACATCCAGAGAGTTCTGAGCAATAGACATAGGAACCATTTTTGGAAAAATTTTGCTCTTATTCAGCCCTGCCCAACTTTTCTTGGTCTCATTTGGGGTTTTCTTGACAAAGTTACTGGAGTGATTTGCTACTTCCTTTTCCAGCTTATTTTATAGATGAGGAAACTGAGGCAAAGAGGGCTAAGTGTCTGACCCACAGCTAATTAATGTTCGAGGCTGGATTTGAACTCAAGAAGATGCAATGTTTCTGACTCCAAGCCCAGTGCTCTACCACCCTCCTACTACTTATTAAACTCCAGAGGGTCTCTATAACTTTTGGAGTTGAAAGTTCTTCACAACACAGATTACTTACTAACATTTCCAGTTTTCTTAATGCTTTACACCCCTCCATGCACCCTGTGATCCAGCTGCACTGGGCTGCTTGCAGATCCTGGCACGCAGTAGGTCCTACATCTGCCTTTGTACTGGCCGGCTCTCCTTCCTGCCTGGAATGCTCTGTCTCCTTACTTCCACTTTTTAATTTCCCAGGCTTCCTTCAGGATTCAGCTCAGTTCATCTTTCTGCAGGAGATCTTCCTGGTCCCCTCAACTGCCAGTATCTTCTTTTCTGAGATTACCTTCCATTTACACCACCCATATATTGTATTTACACAATTATTTTCATATTGTCTCCCCCGTTAGATAATGTACGTTTTCTTCCATCAAGGATGTAATCTTTTGCCTTTCTTTTCTTCAGACCTTAATATAGTGCTCAGCCCATTGTAAGTCCTTAAGAAATGCGTGTTGAAGCACTGATGGGTTTGGAAGTTGTCAGAAGCTTTATACTGTCTTGGAGATTTCCTGGACCCAAAGCAGGAGTTCATATAGGTTCCTTAGGCAATTTCAAGGTATTGATTGCTGTTGATTGAGTAGGGAAGTGACACAATAGGACCTGTGCTTCAGGAAAATCACTTTGGCAGCCTTTTGTAAGATAAATTGAAGTGTAGGGGTAGAGAGACTTGAGGTGGGGGGACCAATTAGGAAACTGAGGGTTAATTGACTTGCCCAGGGTCACACAGTTAATAAGTGTCTGAGGCAGGATTTGAACTCACATCTTCTTGATTCCAGGCTCAACATTCTGTTCACTGAGCCACCCAGCAGGTAAAAATGGGGATAGTTTTGTGAATTAAGAAGTGTACACATAAGTGTTTCAGACCTAGAGAAGGGAAGGCCATTTCCCTTGGCTATCCCCATGCCTGGAATGCTCTCCTTCTTCATCTCTGCTTCCAGGCTTCCCTGGCTTTTCTCAGGCCCCAGATAAAATCCCGCTTTCTACAGGAAGCCTTTCCCATTCTCTCTCCTACCCTCCCTTTGTTGATTATTTCCTTTTTGTCCTACACACAGCTTGTTCAACTATATTTGGTTGCATGTTGCCTCTCCCATCAGATTGTGAGCTCCTGGAAGACAGGGACTGACTTTTACCTTTGTTTGTATCTCCATCTCTTAGCACAAGTACCTGGCACATGATAGGGGTCTAATAAATCCTTATTGATTGACTATTTGGGTGATGATCAGCGGAGGGGGAAACAGAAGTGATTTTGCCATTTGAATATAATTCAGACCACCTGGATGGAATGAGGAAATTAAATCAGGAGTTTGAGAAATGGATCACAAGCCTGGCACAGAGGCATGATATTGTAGGGATGGGGAATTTCATTTATCCAGGAAACTACCAAGAGGTTCCTCTTTTCTGAAAGTGGAACAGATGATATCTTGACTTGTATTAATGGTGATTTCATCTTTCAAAAGGTAGGAGAACAAGTGAGGGGAAATTGTTTTCCGAATCTTATTCTCACTAATAAGGAGGAGCTGGTTGCAGGGGAAGTGACTTAGTTTGTGATAGAGAAAAAGAAGAAACCTGGGCATCGTCTGACCACCTGTCCCAGATTTTGGGAAAGCAGATAGCAAAGGGTTCACAGAAAGGATAGGATCCCATGGAGTAAAATGCTTTAGAGGAAGTCAGTCCAGGAGGGACAGGACGTACTCAAGAAAGAAATTACGAAGACACAAAGGAAAATAGTTGCAATGAAGTGGGAAAATGAGATTTGTTTAAAAAGACTGGTGTGGGGGCATCGAGGTGGTGCAGTGGATAGTGCATCAGTCCTGGAGTCAGGAGGACCTGAGTTCAAATTTGGCCTCAGACACTTGACACTTACTAGCAGTGTGACCCTGGACAAGTCACTTAACCACATTGCCTAGTCTCCCCCCCCCCCCCGAAAAAAAAGGACTGGTATGTAAGCAGAGGGAATCAATTTAGATTAAAAAAAATTATTGCTATTTTTTTTACATCATCTACATTTCCTTTTCTCTCCTAGAGAGCCATCTCTTATAACAGAGAAAAAAAAAGAGGAAAGAAAAACAGTTCAATGAAACTAACCAATATATCAAAAAAGTGTGGTATTATATGTAGTGGTTTATACCCATAGTCTTCTATCTCTTTAAAAAAAAAAAAAAGGAGGAGAGACATCTTCTCAGTATATCTTCTTTGGGTCTAAGCTGGGTCATTATAAATTCACAGCATTTAGGTCTTTTCATTTACATTATTACTCTCATTGAATATTGTCTACCTGGTTCTGCTTATTTCAGTTTGCATCAGTTGCAAAGATTTGCATACAAGTTTTCTAATGCTTCTCTATATCCATCATATTCATTGTTTCTTAGAATACAGTAATTTTCCATTGCATTACTGTGCCACACAACTTGTTTAGCTGTTCCCCTATTGATGGGCATATACTTTAGTTCTTTGCTATAGTGAAAAATGCTTCCACAAATATTTCAGTGCAGATGGATTCTTTCCTTCTTTCTTTCTTTCTTTTTTTTCTTTCTCTCTCTCCCTTTCCTTCCTTCCCTTCCTCCCTCCCTCTCTCTTTCTCTCTTTCTTTCTTCCTATATCTTGGTGTGTATGCCTAGCAGTGAAATCTCTGGGTCAAACATTTTATTCACTTTTTATTTTGTGCAAATTCCAAATTGCTTTCCAGAACATTGTGCCAATTTTCAGCTTGACTGACAATGTACCTGTTTTTTCCACAGTCCTTCCAACATTGACTTCCACTTTGCCAATTTGGGGATTTGGGGGAATTTGCATCTCTCTTATTATAAGTAGTTTGGAGCATTCTTTCATGTGATTCTTAATGGTTTGTAATTATTTTGAGAATTGTTCATTCATATTCTTTGACCACTTATCTATTGGGGAATGACTTTTGATCTTATGTAGTTACATTAGTTGCTAATGTGTCTTGGATTTTAGGCTCTTATCAGAGATATTTGATATAAAGGTTTCCCCTATTTGTTAGTGTCTTTTCTTATTCTAGTTTCATTAATTTTGTTCATGCTTAAGCTTTAGCATTTCATGTGATTGAAATTATCAGTTTTATCTGTTATCATTGCCCATGTCCGTTGTTTGGTTACAAAATCACTCCTAGCCATAGTTGTGAAAAATACACCATCTGGTTCTCTTCTAATTTTCTTTTTATATCATCTTTAATTTTCAGGCCATGTATGCAACTTAGAGGGCAGCTAGGTGACACATGGAATAGAGGGACAGGCCTGAAGTCAGGAAGACTCATCTTCCTGAGTTCAAACATGACCACAGACACTCACTAGCTGTGTGACCCTGGGCAAGTCACTTAACCCTGTCTGCCTCAGTTCCTCATCTGTCAAATGAGCTGGAGAAGGAAATGGCAACCCACTCTAGTATCTTGCCAAGAAAACCCCAAATGGGGTCGTGAAGAGTCAAACATAACTGAAATGACTGAACAACAACAACATGCAACTGAGATTTAAAAAATAGATGTATAGAAGTGTATGGTAGGAGTATTGACCTAAGGCTCTACTCTACATAGGCTAGCTTAGTTTTTCCTTAAAAGATACTGAAACAGTCCTCAAGACTTAATTGGCTTGGGGAACTAAAGCCTTGGAATGTTACCAGAGCCTCCTCTGCTGAGGGCATTGAATACAAAAGAAGCCAGGCCCTGACAAGTCACTTGCTCCTTTCCTTGGCTGTGGACCAGCTTGGGCAAAGCTAAGTCTAGCTGTGTCCTTGCTGAATCTCCATTCACTTCCAGGCCCAGTTAACTACCCTGTATTAACTGTCATGTGTTCTCTGAGTGTCTCATTTCATTCATTCTCAAGCCTGGTCTACCAGCATGAGTCAGGTTTGGCCTGTTAGAAGGTGGAAAAGAGGGCAGGTAACAGAGGATGAATACAAGAGCATTACATATTCCTATATGCATAGTGTCAGGAATGATAATGCTTAGAATGTGCTGAGGCTGGTGAGGGCCCCTAAGGATGATAAAAACTTTATTTAAAAAATTTTTTTTAAAGTTCTGTTTGGAGAAAAAGGAGGCTCAGAGAGGGGTTAGACTCATTTGGTGTGAATGGAATGATGCTAACTGACAATGGAGAGAGGGCTGAGCTGCTCAATTCTTACTTTAAGTTTTCTCTGCAAAGGAGAATGACCTTCACACTGGAGACTGAAAAAGTGACTAATAAGCAACTGATAGCCCCCATAACAAACATAAACAAGGAGACAGAAAGCATCTAATTGCCCCTTATGACTTTGAATCACTTGACTCTCATGGACCATTCCCTTGGGTACTGAAAGAATTGGTACATGTGATTACTGAGCGACTTTCAGTGATATTTGAAGATTATAGAAAAAAGGGAGAGGAACCTTGGGACTGGAGAAGGGGGAATGTTGTCTTGATTTTCAAAGAAGGGAAGAGAGAAGATTCTGCAAACTATAGGTCATTGAACTTGACTTCTGTTCCTGGAAAAATTCTGGAAAACTTCTGTGATTCTCTGTATAGGAAATGAGCTGAGGATGATTTCTCACTGGCTTCTGGAACCTTACTCTCAGTTGGGTCCCACTACATCTGCAGGCACTGGGAGAGACAAGGAGAATGCTCAGAGGGGGTTTTTGAATCCACAGCTGCAGAATTTCCATCTCCCAGTGTCCTTTGTGCTTGATGCAGACCACTTGTGCCAGGGGCACCCACTGTTCAGGGAAGACCATCACAGGCCCAGAGGAAAAGCCCTCCAGAGAGGATGGAGCCTCTCAGAACCACCAGGAAGTGTCTCACCTGGCCCTCAGGTTCTTTCTTCTGTCCGAACGGATCAGCAGACTGGCTGTCTTATTGAGGGCCAATTTTAGAACACCAAGCAGACTTTGGGGTTTGAATCCCAATTCTGTTCCTACTTGTGTGACCTTAGACAAATTATTTCTCTCTGTGTCTGTCTTCAGTTAACAAACGAAGGGTTAGAACAGGTAACCTTGAAGGTCCTGTTCAGCTCTGATTCCTATGATTTCGGCCAACTTTTCTTTCTCTAGAACAACTCCCATTTTTACTTCTGGATGGTCTTGGTATCATTCCTTCAGTTTCAAAGATATATTCAAATTTCCATCTTTCTTGTGGGAGTCAAATGAGATAACATATGTTTAGCACTTTGCAAAACTTTGTAAAACTCTGTTAAGGCATCAATAAGATGGTTTCCATAAAGCCAGCAAACACTGAGTGATTTGAACCAGAGGAGAACTTGATTCTAAATTTAACAAGGTATCAGATTGTAGAATTTTAAATAAGGTGAAATCATGCTCTGTGTTGCCGTATGTTGAAACAGAAAGACTGACCTTAATAGAAATGCTGAATAGAATTAAACAAATATTTAGTAGTCATTAATAAATCATTTCTGAACTACTCCTCTCGCAAGTCTTAATGTTAAAAATAAAACAAATACATTTTAAAACTCTTCTTTCTTACAGTATACACCGTTTTAATTTGTCCAAAATGGTTTTAAAGAAGAAAAAAGATATTCAGGTTGCTCCACTGATTGTTGGTCACCAGGAACTTGAAACATTGGGATGTGAGTGCTTTCTTTTTTTGCCTGTTTAATGCTTGTTTAATGTATTTCTGTCCTAGTTTGTAAGCATTTTTTAATGTGTCAAGGGAGTTTCTAGGGGATGTTTCTGAGTCAGCAAATAGTAAAGATGACTCATGGTATAATGGAAAGACCACTGAATTTGCAAAGAGAGGATCTGGGTTTGAGTCTACTTAACTCTGGGTAAGTTACTTTATTCTTCTGAGCCTCAGTTTCTCTATGTGTAAAATGTGGATAATGATAATTGTGAATAATGATAATATGTGACTTCACAGAGTGGTTTGGAAGAAAAGTGTTTCCTAAATCTCTAAGTGCTATATAAATGTGAATTATTACTGTGTTGAATTGTATTCCTGTGTTTTTCTCTAAATGTTATTGCCAGTCAGATTGTTGTCCTAAAATATTGTATGCAGATTAATAAAGCTTATGTTTTTAATTTATAAATATTCAGTTCTTTAAAATGTAGATTAGAAACACAATTTACATATTGTTGAAGTCACAGGAAAAATATCTTTTGTGTATTATTTAGCATTTGCAGATGCTGAAGGGGAGAATCTCGCTTCCTTGTTGTTACGCTGTGTACAACTGACTGATGGACTAGTTCAAATCCATTGTATCAAACAGGTAAGACTTAATTGGCAACCAGGATTGTACCTCTTAGAATATCATATCATATGATTTTTTTTTTTTAAAGGAATTAGCCTCTTTGGTTCAGAATCTTCTAAAGCCATTGTGTGCCCCTTAGTTCCAGCCCACACTATAGCCACTATGGGACTTTTCTGAACACCAGGTAGTTTTAGTTGTTCCTTCATTAATTTCCTAAGTGATGAGTGATGGATACCATATTTAGGGTTCACCTTAAGAGGGACCTATTAATGAGAGGATGGCTAGACCACTTCTCAGACCTTTGGAGAGTATGAAATGCTTTTTTTTAATGGAGGAAAAACCAGTTTGGATTAATATTCCTTGCAATGTTTTAAAAAGTTACATTGTATGTTATTTAAGATATTAAGGTTAGTATCATTTGTGTCCTGAAGCAAGCTTTTACCACTTGAACTTAAATAATGAGAGAAATGATTATTAATAACAAATATTTTGGGTAGATTCAGAGCTCTCTCTTTCTTCCAAATTTTTGATTTTAAAAAGTTCAGTCTCTTGAAGGACATTACTCATAATGAGATTGAATTAATTCTCTTCTATCTTGGTTAGACCCCACCCAATTTTACAAAGAATTTAATCTAAGGTGGGGAAACCCTTTGTATTCTACCCAAGCTTGGGTGGAGATAGATCCTTTTGTCTGGATAGCCTAAGGCTGCAGGGTTGTCTGAGTATAGAGATTGGGTGGTCTGACATGATATTTTTGACATGTCACTCTCAGCCCCTCATTGAACACCTGCTCTTTGTAAAGTATATAAACTGTGAGCCCACCACTGCCACAATTGTCTTTGGTCTAAGAGAGGTGGCCAAATGACCATCTTTTTATTAATAAATGTGTTGGCCCTGTTAATAAGATAATTAAATTACCCAGAAACTATGTCTCTTTTTTAATTGTCACAATAATATATTTTGATGTTTCTGTTTTTAGTAAAATGCTGGTATCTCATTGGTGCAAAAAAACCTTATTTTTTTAAGGGAAAAATTTGATGTATGCTAAGGCCCTATCTTTCCAGCTCTAAATCCTATAATCCCATGATCCTATGCACAGTACAGGTGTTTCACTCAGCATTCTTAATAAAAGGGAAACTATTTAACAACTATAATTTCCATTATTTTGGAGTGGTTGGGAGATTCTCATCATGATAAATTAGATTATTTCCCACCCAGATGATATTTTTGGATTTTTCATTTGGTCTTGATTTTTTTTTTCCTCTCATAGATTGTGCCTTTGCTAGAGAAGATAGATGGGAATCAGGCATGTGATCCCATGTTTCAGAGTTGCTTGGATATTTTAGGACGTATTTATTTTTCTGTGGGGTCAAAGAACCCTTTGAAGAAAGTGTTGGCAAGGTAAGAAAAAAGAGACTAATAATAATGATGGCCTACCTGAAAAACAACAGTTAATCTGATATTTAAAGGTAATTTATATGGAACTACAAGGCCAGAGCTCTGTCCACTGTGCCACCTAGCTGCCCCTGGAGTGCATTTTCTAATCAAGAAAGAAACAAACAACATCACTCCATTTTCCCTTTTTTCCCCTCTAAGTGTGGCTTGATTTTAGTTGTCTGGACTAAAGCATACTTAGGCTAATTGGGCTGGGACAGAAAATGATGGTTTTCTTAACCCTACGTGGACATGGTAGCGATTTGTGGCTCAGTTAAGTAACTGTATGAGGACTGGTCCTTGGGAAAATGATAAAGTAGGTAAAGTTTCTATTGTAATTTTCCTGCTAGCTTCTGGGTTCTTTCCCTTCTTCCTTCAGTGTCTTCTCCTGGAGCACAATGTTACTTGGCTCCCTGCTATCAACAGAAAATTTTTAGACTTCCTAGAAATTATTTGTCTTGTAAAAATAATATCTCAGGGAAAGTAAATCTAAGGACTGGCTCTCTAAAAGTAGAATTTTAGATATCAGTCAAACTTGGGTAGGGACAACATTTTGAGGGTTGGGGATACCCTTTGCCCAGACTCTCAAATTATATTATAGATATGTCCCATGTCCTATGTTCCATTATATGAATAAATCCCTGTAGATTATGCCTACAGAAATTTCTATTTCTGTATAATTTCCCTCCAATCCATAGGCATTTATTTGGTACCTACTGTGTGCTAGTTACTATGTGAGGCAATACAAAGTCAAAAGGGAAGCAACTTCTGCCCACAGCTTATATTCTTCATATAAGTACATGTATAAATAGATGCTACATTTAAAATATATGTGAAATGAGCCTAATGTAGTTTGGGGAGGGACAGCATTAGTAGTTGGGTGGGACCAAGAAGAGCCTTGTGTAGAAAGTTGAGCTTGAGTTGATTATTGATTTAAACCAGGGATTCCAGAAGCTATAGATGAGGAGATAGAGTGTTCCAGGCATGGAACCCACCAGTTCAGAGGCATGGAGATGGCAGATAGAGTGTTGCATATGAAGCACATCCGGGCTAATATGGCAGGATTGTAGAGCTCCTGGACAAGATTGACGTGTAATAAGGCTGGAAAAGTAGGAAAGGGCCAGGTTGTGAAGAGCTTTAAATGCCAAATCATGGTGTTTATCTTTCATCCTAGAAGAAATGGGGAAACTAGTGGAATTCATTGAGTAGGAGGGATAATGTGGTTGACCAAGTTATGCAGACTCCAGTTAAACAGACTCATCTGGGCCTTAGTTCTTAGACTTTTCCTTTTCTTTTTTTTTTTCTTCTAGTTCACTAAATGGCCTCCCTGAACCATTTTTTGCTGATGCTATATGTAGCTTCACCTGTTGTCTTCAAGAAGAACTGAAAACTACTAACTTGTACTCTTATAGGAAAGTAATTGACAATCTTGCCTCCTGTATGGAGAACTTTAACCTGGGTAAGAGGGCATTTGGTATTTTTGTATTCTGCTGCTGTCTTTGCTATAATTCTCAATATGTATTATAAAACCCACAGTGGAAATTTAAAACTATACTAATATTGGTTGTTGGGGTTTCTTTTTCCTACAGGTAGGACAAGTGTTATGAACCTGTTTAAAGATGGTAAGAGCCGGTTAATTAGTTTTTATGTTGAGAAAAAGAAATAAATATTAAAATGAATTATGAAATTATAAAAATAAATTGATCACTGCTGACTGCATGCTTTCTTTGGATTAGGAAGAGGAAGGGAAATAGGGTACCCTGGGGAGCCCCCTTCCTGCTACCTCCTGAAAAACTGCACACTTTGGATAAAAACCAAGGTGTGCCAATGTAGGTAGAGTGTAATATAACATTTTTCATATACTAAAATTGATATGGTAGTCAATAGGTTTCAATTTGTGCTTTGTTTTTTCCGTATTTTAATCTTATGGGGGGGGTCATACTGTTCTTTAATTGCATGTTTTTTGTTTCAGTTCTTCAGTTTCTACAGAAGGTTCTAGTTGAAATACCAGAAGAAAATAGGTAAAATACATTCTGTGTGTGTTCATGCATGCATGCATGTGTGTATGTATGCATGTGTATCTCTCTCTCTTTCTCTCACACACACACACACACACACGTGCGCGTGCGCGCGTGAAAAGAGAGAGGCAGAAACAGACTTCCCCTCTGTGGCAGTGTTGTCCATATTTTTTTCAGCATTAGGTAATATGATTATATAGCCTACATTTTTCCACAATTATTCACCCCATCAGCATTTATTTTGGCCGTACTCTGTAGCAGGCAGTGTGCTAGGTATTTGGGATATAAAGGCAGTAATAAGTCCCATCCCACTAGTATAATGCCTGGTGGTGGTCAGTTGCCCATTGGTAGTGGCAGACAGGTGGTTAGGCCCTCCTGGCTGGCCTTTTGTTTCATGTATGCCAACTAAAGAGGTAAAACACTTTTTGCCAAAAGTCTCAGAGAGGTGACACTCAAAGAGTTGGTGTTTTGGTGCATGTTGGGTATCCTGTCTCTCTGGGAAGATAGAACAACAGCAGCAATAATAATAAACATTCATATGGTGCTTACTGTATCCCAGGCCCTGTGCTCTGTGCTTTACAAGTATTATCTCATTTGATCTGAATATGATTATTTTTAGAGGGAATGGTAATAAATGTACCACTTGGTGCTTTGTTTCCTAGTATTTTTTATTTGTAATTAAATACAGATATTTAATTTGCAGTAGATTTTCCTTTTTATTGATGAAGATGCAGCTAAAAGCACCTCTTTATGAGAAGAAAAATTATTATAAATAATCTGGAAAAAGTTCTGGAAGATTCGTAATTGGTAGAGCCTTTTGTCCGGCAGAAGTTATGACTTCTGTGGTATGATAGCAAGTTCTCTTTGGCCTGTATTAACTGACTAAAACATTCAAAAGCAGACTTTTCAAGGAGGACCAAGACATTCATAAGCTATGCAATCAGGGCAATTGACCTGTTGTCTTATTATGGGGGAAAGTAGTTGGAAGGAAATGAAGAAGTAGGGAGTTAATCACACCGGTGCTAAAAAATGAAAGAATTCACAGGCCAATATACATATACACGTGTGTGTGTGTGTGTGTGTGTGTGTGTGTGTGTGTGTGTGTGTGTGTGTGTATGCACACTGTTGGGGCTGGTTGACTGGCTACAGCAGCCCTGTTTACCTTCCCTTTCCCTCACCATCTGTTCTGAATGTTGTAATTTTGTGACATAACCTCCCTTTCCTTTTGCCTTTGAGTCTTCCCTTCATGTCAGTCAATCAGTCTGTCAGTCAGTAAACATTTATTAAGCACCTGCCATGAGCCAGGCACTCTCCTGAGTCCTGGGGATACAAATACAAATAAAGACAGTCCCTGCCCTCAAGCAGCTTCCAATCTAATTACTATTTAATTTAAACTAGATTTTACCTGGATGAAAATAGAAAGGGTGATGCTGCCCACATAGTAGGATTTGTCCTTGGACCCACATCCCTATGAGGATATTGTTGGTTGGTACATGAACCTGTGATTTTTTTAGGGGTTTGTGAAAGAAGCAATGAGTCTTTGACTCATAGAGTAAGTAGAAAATAAGCAAATCAGTGCATGGCTAATGATAACATGAAAATTTTTTATTTAGAGAAAATTGTCTTCCTATAGCCTTTTGGTAAAAAGGTATGAATATTTTCATTTTTTGAATGGATGAGTGTTTTCTTATGAGGTGGGGATGGTGGTGAAACTTTTATTTAAATTTCCTTTCATGATGTTGTCTTTCTCCATCTTTAGAAAGTTTACTGGAAACCATATTGCTCAGACAGAGCTGATGCACGACTTGCTGATAGCCATTAGAGTCTCTGTGATGCTAGTGCAGAAAGTACAAGAAATCAGTCAGGGAGATCTTTGGAAGATCCCCAGTTCTCCAGTTTGGCAAAGCATGGGTGGCCTTCTGAGCATTTTCTCCAAGTTCCTAAGGAATGGTACAGTATTTAGAAGATAACTATAATTATGTGCTAATCAGATTGCCTCTAATACTTAATTGAAATAGATTATTAATAAATTATCTTAAAGAGGGAAATCATGGTTCTTTACCATATTTGCCATTTTCTTTCAAATGTAGCAGTTTAGTGGGGGTAATTTGTAGGCATTGCTATGTAGTGGCTAGAGAGCTAGCCTTGGAGTTAGGACTAACTAGGTTCTGGGCCCCCTCTGGCTCATACTGACAGTGTGACTCTGGGCAAGTCACTTAACCTTCCAGTGTTCTAGACCAGAAGTGTCAAACCCATGGCCTGCAGGCACCAGAAACCCGCAAAACGCCAGAGTTTGGACTGAACCAGGTTAAAGCGTAATTGGGAAATGTCTAACAAAATAAATAAAAATACAAGACAGCATAGATCTTATTAATTTGTGGTTTTCTAAGGTAATTGGCGGCCAGCAGGGTACCACTGCTCTAGATAGCTCCCTGAGGCTGTGAATGGTGAAGAAGGTGCTGCTGCTTTCACAGGGGCAGGTTCTCGACCTGAAAGTTTCCTCTGTCAGTGAAATCACAGGTGTAGTTCCTGTTCCTCTCTATAAGGGCTGACACTTATCTAGGGCTTCAGCATTTGCAAAATGCCTTTGCTTATATCATCTTGCTGTGTAGTTTTGCTGATGGTTTATTAAGGAATTGTTCAAGAATTTTATATTTTTAAAAAGTACTTTCTATTTTTCTGTCAAATAGATGACCTCTTACAGAATATTCAGAGTACATCTGGGTTAGCTGTTATTCTTCTCATTAAGACTATGTGTGATACAGCTGAAATGATACCTGGTTTGGTGAGTTGATCTTTCTTTAAGTTGTACTAATTAAATATTGTTAAATGTAATATATTTTGATTATTTTATCTATTTAAAGTTATTTAAAGTTTCTCTTATTAAACCAGATTTCTTATGGTGTTAGATTCATTTGCAATCTTAAGGATATATAGAATCAAGATTTCTTCTGTATAGTGGCAATTTATCCATGCCTATGTGCTAAATATTGAAGATTAACCCACATAATCCAATTTTTTTTAACAGTGTGTTAAAGGCAATGCATATGTTACTGTGTTTTTTTAAATAAGGCCTTTTATTTGCCTCCAAAATATTTTAGTAACTATCTTAATAGATACAACATTTCCTTCCAAAAGAAAACATTTGAACTCAAGATGATTTAACTGTTTCAGTCATATTTGTAGGAAACATTTCATTTTGGACCTTACTTGGATACTTTTCTGTATCTACGAACCTACTGATATAGGTACTTCATTTTCTGGTTATAAATCTCTGTTCTTCACAATTCCTCTTTGGTAATGTGTTGTGGAGTACTCACACCCTTTGTGCTCCTCTCCATTTCCCTTTGGGTGATCTCCATGTGTAATTTTTCATAAACTGTGAATATTGATATTTAGAAGATGGCCCTTTGTTTTAGGGAGATGTTTGGGATCATTAAAAGTATCATGTATTTTCTCAAAGGTAATTCAACCTACTCATCTTTTATTCAATTAAAGGCTCAGTTCAAATCTTTCCACAGTGTCTTTCTGAGACACATGTATTGATGGTGCATGGTGGGTTTTATATCCAACTGCATGCTATAGCCTAGACAAAGGAAGAGAATACAGTGTCCCACTGTGATTGTTGTTTGTTTATGATTTAAAAAAAGAAAAGAATTTGATTTGGCAGAGTAAAATATTGCCTTAAAGACTTTGCTCTAATTAGGTATCTTCTGTACGTGTGTTAAAATCATACAAGATTCTTTGAAATAAAAAGAAAGCTTTGTTTAAAGACCCTCTGATTATTAATAGCAAATGAGGCAAAAAAACCAAACAAACCAAAAACCAAGGGCCTGTATGATCTGTAAAGTATTTATCATTGACATGGAGGATGTGCAGAACAAAATCCAGATGCATGAAGGGAGGTCCTTATAAATGGTGAGGGCCCCAGATGCTCCTGTTTGCAGATGATGTGCTGATTTTCTCAAGCCCTGTAACATTGCAGAGCTTCTAAAATGAGACTTGTAATCACCCAAAAGAGTTTGGCTTACTTAATTAGTGCTTGCGGTATTTTCCATATAATGTATTTTTAATACAAGTAGCATGGGATAGGAAGTAGAATGCTGGGCTTGGAATCAGAAAAGTTTGGGTTCAAATCCTATTATGATACTTCTTGGTATGCCCCTGGGTAAGTCACTTAACACCTATGTGCTTCAGTCACATAAGACTTACCTATTAAGTCATGAATGAACTGTGAACTGAATTGTTGAATGGAGTTCCCACATTGGGAGTACCCACATTGGGAATACCCTACTAATGTTTCTGGTTGTTGCTGTGGTTTTGGGATTCTGATTTTTTTTTTTTGTTAGAAAACACTCATTCAGAATTGTGTAAATTCACATTTTTAAAAATTGAAATTCATTTAATAGATTTCAGTATATAATCAATTTCAACATATAATCGATTTCTATATATAATCTCAATATATAATCTGCTATTGAACAGATCTTTTAGTCATTGAATTCACAAATATGATAATTTATCAGTTATTATAATTTTAAATTGCAGCGTTATTTCAGACTACAAAGACATATTTTAGTCTGGCATTGTGCAATCTATTTGAGGGCAATAAAGGACTTTTATTTATTTATTTATTTTATTTATTTTTATTTATGATTTTTTAAATGCCATTTAGGTAAATGTAATCAAATTATTTTTTATTTTATTTTTAAAATTTGTTTATTTTTAAGTTTTCAGCATTTACTTCTGTAAGATTTTAAGTTTTAAATTTTCTCCCCTTCTCCTTCCCTCCCCCCCCAAGATGGCACACAATCTGATATAGGCTATACATATACATTCATATTAAAATATTTTCACATTAGTCATGTTGTAAAGAAGAATTAAATCAGTGGGAGAAACCACGAGAAGGAAGAAACAAACAAAAAAAAAGAGCAAATAGTATGCTTCAATCTGCATTCAAACTCCATAGTTCTTTCTTTGAATGTGGATAGCATTTTCCATCATGAGTCTTTTGGAGTTGTCTTAGATATTTGCATTGCTGACAAGAGTTAAGTCTATCAAATTTAGTCATCTCACAATGTGACTGTTACTGTGTACAATGTTCTCCTGGTTCTGCTCACTTCATTCAGCATCAGTTCATGTAAGTCTTCCCATGTTTTTCTGAAGTCCACTTGCTTATCATTTCTTATGGAACGATAGTATTCCATTACAGTGTTCAGCCATTCCCCAATTGATGGGCATCCCCTCAATTTCCATCAGATTATTTTTTATTTCATGTAGGTTGTGTATTTGCAGACAGAATGAAATGGAGAGCTAAATTGTCATTTTTCTAATCTTTTCATTGTCAGTCTAAATCCAATCAATGATAAACATTTTGTCAAGTGCCTACCACTTTTTCTCCTCGTGAGGTTTTTTGTCTGCATTATGTAGATAAGTATCTTTATTATTCATTTGACTTTGCCTGTGTGCCAGCTATTATTTCAAGGATCATTTTTCATTAGTTCTCACAAGTTGAGTGAAATTTCAGAATTCAGCTTCATATATTGTTTCTGTAGAGCATTTGTTGTGCACCCGCCTGCAGATGGCACTGTGCTGGCATGTATTTGAAAAACAACATGGCCCTTGCCCTCTAGAAACTTAACATTTGAAAAAGGAAGTCCTTAACAGTTGTCTTGACTGCACCAAATACTAATTTATGTTCTGCTATATTCTTTATTGGTTGTTTTTAGGCAAAAATTTCAGGGCAAACATAATTTGGACTTACTGTTTTGGTGACTTTTTTTGGAAAGAATCTTTTGGTGACTTGTGTGTTAATTTAATTTAATTTTTTTTCCAGGTGAACTGCTTGATTCTTCATTCAGTGGGAAGTTGCAGAGTTCCTGAGTGGTTTATGAACAGCTGTGGAAGCCTGTGTGTGGAGGATGTCCCTGGGCCAGCCCTCCTCTTCCTGTGTCAGGGCGCTTTGGCTATGTTAAACTGGAAGAATGGGAGCATGGGCCAGAGTGGAGAGAAACTCCTTTTGGATATTGCCAGTGTTTTGTTCACCCTGAGTTTGCAGTGAGTTCAGTTTCTGCTCTGTACCATCTTTGGTTGTAAGAATGGCTTTGGTCGTGATTGGGAGTAGTTAGAAAATGAAAGCTGAACAAACTGATTTAGCAGTATCTTTAGGTATCTGTGTAAGGATTACCGTAGTATGAAATTAAGACAAATGGGAATATTTGATGTATGTTTTTGGTGACTCAAATACTCAAGTGGAGCTATTGTTTCATTGTTGGGAATGTTCCCATCAATCATGCAGCTAGCAACCCATCCATGCCTCTCATATGACTGTTCCATGTCTTCTCATAAGTTATCACAGAGGGTCTCTGGGTCTCCCCAGCCTTCTAAGATCCTTCTTTACTTTCTCCTGATGTGGGATATTACACTGCTCTTGTCAATGTGGCTGTCCTTCTTTTCGGATCATGGATTTCTTTGATGACATCCTTTGCTCCATTTCTGCTTGAGAGTTCCTGATTTTCATGGCAGCCTGTTCACACCTACCACATGCATGTGCCTCTCCTTGTCTCCTGAGTGATAATCATTTTTCATTCTTCAGTGACTGTAGATTTATATGACTTGTAGCCATATCATAGCATCTGTAGACTGTTGGTATTAAAAAGATGGACCATTGTTTCTGGGAAAAAGTTGAGGTAATTAAAGGAGATTTGCAGTTTTCTGAAGGCAATTTAGCCCATTCTCACTGGGCTGTTTAATCTGGGGCCCAACTTACCCATTTCGGTATCCCATCAGTTGCCAAGCCTGGGATCCTCTTGTGCCTTTTGAGAGTCTAGTCTCTCAATACTACGAGGGTCTGTGATTAAAATATCTAAAATCATTTAAACATTTAGGCCTCACTTCTTATGTTTTTCACTGTAAAATTATATTTTCTGTTTCCAGATTTAGAATTTCATGTAGTCTTTGTTTTTAATGAGGAAATCTCGGCAACACAATTCAAAGGGCTCTTTCATTTCCAGGCTGATGGCATGCTTAAAATGACAAACTAAAGATTCAGTCTGTCATCAACCATCATAGAGATAAAGTATGAAAATGTGATGTTCCAGTACTTATTTTTAACTTTACCTTCTAGTTCCGTTTTAGAAGTTTCATTTTGGGAATATATGATTATCTTCCAGAACAAATTGCAAAACTTTTATATCAGAGATAACATTTAAAATTATTACAGATTAATTTTAAAAGTAAGGCTGCTGGGTGGTGCATTGGATAGAGCATTGGGCTTGGAATCAGGAAGACTGATCTTCCTGATTTCAAATCCGTTCTCACACACTTATTAGCTGTGTGACCCTGGGCAAGTGACTTAACCCTGTTTGACTCAGTTTCATCATCTGTCAAATAAGCTGGAGAAGGAAATGGCAAACTATTCTAGTATCTTTGCCAAGAAAACCCTAAATGGGGTCACGAAGAGTCAGATATGACTGAAGCAACTAAACTAAACAACAAAATTTTAAAAGTGATAAAACTTTTATGTGTTAAGAAAGGAAATCTCTTTTGGGCTTATTTAGATTATTTTTCCCATGTACTATTCATAATAATTTTATATTGTGGTCTCATTGCATTTTTTCTTTCATAGTTTATCATTCTAAATCATCATAAAAGTCATAATAGAAATCTGGGGTTGTTTAACAGCAAACTTTTATCATTAATGTAACTCGTTTCCTTTTAGGCTCAAGGAATCAAGCTTGGAAATGTTCCTGTCTAGAATTTTGGTGATGTGGACCAATTCAGCATTAGATAGCTTTGAATCAAGTTCTTTGAGTCTAAAGAGCAGTCTGAATGGGAATTCAGACACAGTTGGGAAACTTCTGGAGTACGTCTACACCCACTGGGAACATCCCTTGGATGCTGTGAGATATCAAACAAAAACAATCTTCAGAAATCTTCTCCAGATACACCAGGGCACTGTGGAAAGATCTGACTGTGTCTCTGATCGTTTCTTCTTGGGACTTACTGAGAGCCTATTGAGGTTGGAATGGCATGTTAAGGGAAAATACACCGGCCTCAGCTGCCTGGTAGATTGTGTAGGGATTGAAAATGTTTTAGCAGTGAATAAAACAATCCCTTCTCAGATCCTGGAGGTGATGGGTGATCAGTCGCTAGCCCCTTATGCAGGCGACCTCTTAGAAACCATGTTTAAAAATCACAAGAATCGTTTGAAATCCCAGGCTCTTTGTAGACCTTGGATTGATCAGTGGCATGAAACATGGGTTTCTCCTCTCCTCCTCATACTGCGTGAAGGGAGCCTGGAACAGATGGCTTGCCTAATTGATTATTATTTGCCAAAGCTATTGAAATGCAGTCCTGAAAGCCTCAGTTATATGGTAAACATTCTCCAGACTTCTACTAACATTAACACAGGTAAGAAAAACTGGTTTTCATAGTTTGTTGCTCTCTGAAAGAAAGCTCAATTATGAATGAGGGGGAAAGGGCACAAAGGAAGGAAGGAAGCATTTATTAAGCCTACTGTGTGCCACACACCATGTTAAGGACTTTACAAGTACTATCTCCTGTAATCCACTATTTGGAATAGTGCAGTTAAAAGAAGCAGTTAAAGAGGAAACAATTAAAAGAAGCAATTAAAAAGGAAAAAAAAAGCTCTCTGCAAAGCAAAGTCAAAACAATCTGAATGCTCAAATTTTAGGGAATAACTGAACAAACTGATATATCAGCAGTGGTGTGCCATAGCACTGATAAGGATAACAGATGTCAGAAGAGTGATGAAATAATGCTAAGTGAGAAAGCCCAAGTTGAAAAATGGCCTGTGCACTGATGACAACTTATAATTAAAAAAAAAATTTACTCATACATATATGTAACTATACAAAGAAATTAGCATTGGATTTGCATCAGAGGACCCAAGTTCAAATACCAGCCCTTCTACTTGTTAAATACTGTATGACCTTGGACAAGTCATTTAATTTCTTGAGGTCACCAGGTGCAATTGTTTTGATTTGAAGGGGTTGAAAAGGTGTTTAGATTTTAGGTAAGGTTAGTCTTTAGGATTTGCAAGAGGCCCAAAACCCTTTTTTTGTCTGGGGTGGGGAGGGAGAGTGACTGGCATGCCCTAAGTTTTTTCATCTGTAAAATGGGAGGGTGCAATGGAAAGAGTAGGTTTTGGGGTCAGGACCTGGCTTTGAATTCTTGCTCCGCCTCTACTACCTTTGTGATCTGAGACAAGTCAGGTAAGTTCTTTGGTCCTCAGTTTCCTCATATGTAAAAGGAGGGCCTTGGAGTAGGTTTATAAGATTAGAGATGGAAGGGGCCTCAGAGGTCACCTAGTTGCACCTTCTTTAAAATGAGCAAACTGAGGATGAGGGTAAGGGGAATAATTGACTTGTCCAAAGTCACACAGGTAAGTTGGCATTAGGAGTGGACTTTGAACCCATGTACTCTGACTTCATAATCAATTCTCTTTCTTCTGTACCATGCTGACTCCATGATTTCTTTCTTTCGTTTGGTAATTTTTTTATTTTGCACTTAGATACAAATGAGAAAAGAAAAAAAATTGTCTTGTACACAGCAGATAATAAGAGAGGATTCAATATAAAGCTCCACAATTTCTAACATTCTTTCCAACACTAAATCACCTTCCTAGCGCTAATATTTTATGATCTGTGATTCATAAGGCCCTTTTTAGTTCTAAGTTCTGTGTTCTTTTGACTTTGAGAGAATTTCTTATACTTGTTCCCAGTTTCATGTTCAGTAAGTTTTTTTATGTAAAGCTAAATAAGTTGTTTTGGTTTTTTTTGCTTTTTGGTGAGGCAGTGAGGGTTAAGTGACTTGCCCAGGGTCACAAAGCTGGTACGTGTCATGTGTCTGAGACCGGATTTGAACTCAGGTCCTCCTGACTTCAAGGCCAGGGCTCTATTCACTATGCTACCTAGCTGCCCCCTAAATAAGTTCATAATAAAAATATTTTAAAATAAATGAAGTAGAGACAGAAGTTTTATTCCAAGGAAATGGAGAGGAAGGAGGCAGGAGCAATGGTAGATGATTCTCTTGAGAAGTTTGGCAATGACCAGAAGGAAGGGATGGCAAGTTGAAGGCACGGCAGGACCAGAGGGCACTGTCTTTAGGATCGGGAAGACCTGGGCATGTTTGAAGGCAGAAGGAAATGAGCCAATGGAGAAAGAAGGGTTGAAGATGCCAAAAAGAGAGGGGATGATTGATGGAACAAGGAGGAAACAGGAGGAGACAGAAGCAAGGATCTCCGTGAGGAGCTGGAGCAGAGGAAGACAAAATGGGTGAAGCTGTCGAGAGGCTTTAAGGCATCAAAGAGGAGACATAGGGAGCCTGCCGAAGGTAATGGCTATCTTCTCAGTGAATTGGGAGGCTCTCTCCCTGACTGAGAGCAAGATGGGAAGGAGAAAAAGTGGGATACAAATAACACAGAGGTTTTGAGTTGTGGACAGTTGAGGGAACTAAAATTAGATAGCCTTTGTCTTTTTAGTAAAGTATTCTTGTTAGAAAATATTATTTATTTCTTTGTGCTGTTGAAGTAGTTTACCTATGATCTGGTTGGAAAAATAGACAGCGTGATTATTTAAAATTGCAGCTGTTGTTTTATGACACAGGAATGCTGGTATGTCAGTGTTACATTATTTTTGTTATGTTATCTGGGATGACAGCTTTCCCGTCTCCTGTCCTTAGGGTCCTGCAGCAGCAGAGGCTCCCTGGGAGTTCTGATGGCCTGTCTGAGGACAGCTAGGGCTCACGGACATCTGCAGTCTGCGTCTCACGTTACATGGGGTAGCCTTGTATCCAGTGCAAAAATAAAACAAGGTTTAGTTCATCAGCATTGCCAGGTAAGTGAATAAAAACCGCTGGAGTGATAGAAGTTACAAGTCGTCCCTCTGTCTATTTCACTGGTAACTTGTGGAGAGCCTTATGCTATACTCTCCTGCTATGGCCCAGGAAGGGGATGCCAATTGTCCTCTACCCTGGAATTCTTTCCCCTTTCTCCTTCTACTATTCACTCTCCACCTTGGTTCAGTCCCAACATCCATCTGCTTTCTTTTCCTGGTCTGCTGAACGCTACCAGGGGAGCTCATAAAATTCTCCTGACCCGGCCCACTACAAATACACATGAACAGACCTCTGCAGGGTCCTCACTGGTATGACAGTCCTTTTTGTTACCTTCTGACTAGCTCTCTTATCACATTCCTTAAAGCCTTTGCTCCAAAACCCTCCCTTCTCCAGCCCCACAGCTCCTGCCCTTTCTGGGTAGAGGACTCTGCCTCCCAGCGTTCTGAGACAATTGAGGCCGTATTTCCGTGAGCTCCCTCAGTTCCTGCCTCTATGTCTCAGAATGTCTCTGTCTTTACCTATCCTCTGCCTGTGCTCCAGGCTCAGAGGTGGTCCTTCTTTTGTCAAAACCAAGCCTTTCACTTGTGTCTTAGTTCCTATCCCTTCCTTTCTCCTCCCTGCCAGTTCTTCAGTATCTTCCTTTCTGCTGGCTCCTTAATCTCTACACACATGATCGGGCTTCCCCTTCTTTAAAACAAACAGTAGCAACCACCACCCTTTCCCTTGATACTGCCTTCCCCTCAAATTATCATTTCATAGCTCTCTTTCCTCTCATTGCCAGACTTCTAGAAAGAATAGAGGTACACTCTATCTCCATTTCCTTCCTTGTAGTCCAGGTGTAGAGGTGTCAAACTCCTGGCTTATAGCCTCTGGATTTAAAATATAATTGGGAAATGTTTAAACTAAAGAAAGAAAAATGTCGTGCAACATGGATAATATTAATTTGTGGTTTTCTAAGTCAGTATCCTGCCTGTGGGAATCAATTTCTATTTGAGCTTGATACCACTGGTACAGGGTTTATACCTCTCTCTAATGAAACTGTCTGGTCATGGAGTAGTGAGGTGGTACAGTGGATAGAGCACTAGCCCTGGAGTCAGAGGACTTACATTCAAATCTAGCCGCAGACACTTACCAGCTGGATGACCCTGGGCAAGTCACATAACCCCCATTACCTCTTTAAAAAAAAACCCCACAACTGTTTGGTCACCAATGACCTTTTAATTGCTAAACCTGATAACCTTTTCATAGCCTTTTCTTAGGCTTCTCTTCCTTGTGCCTTTTATCTCATTTCACATTGGTGATCGCTCCTTCTTCCTGAATACTCTCTTCCTTTAGTTTCTGTGACTTTGCCCTTTCCTGACTCATTTCTTATCTGAGTGACTTCATCTTTTGGGTTTTCTTCTTAGTTCATTGTTTTTTTTATCCAACCCAAGTATGGGTATTTTCCAAGGGTTATCCCAGACCTTTTTTCCTTATAGCTCTGTCAACTTTAACTTTGGTAATTTTATCCATTCTGAAGCTTCAGTGATCACTTCTATATAGGTGATAATGTCAAGTCAATTCAAATAAAAAAAAAAACCAAAACACAGCATTTATTAGGAGTCTACTGTGTATCAGGTACTATACTAAACACTGGGGATACAAAGAAAAGCAAAAAATAGTCACAGAGAGACAACATGCAAATAACTGTCAGACAAAATATGTGCAGGGTCAGTTAGAGATGGACAAGAGGAAGGCACTAGTGGTAAGGGGAATCCAAGAAAGGCGTCTTATAGAAGATGGGACTTGAGTTGGAACTTGAAGGAATCCAAGGAAGCCAGGATGAGGAGGGAGAGAATTCTAGGTGTAGGGGATAGACAAGGCACAGAGTTGGAAGACGGAGTGTCAGCAAGGAGGCCATTGCTACTGGATCATTGAGTACATGGAAGGGAGTCAAGTGTAAGAAGACTGGAAAGGTTGGAAATGTCCGATTATTAAGTCAAACAAGTGATTTTATATTTGATCCTCGAGGTAGTAGGGAACCTCTGGAGTTTATGTCAGGAGGGGTAACAAGGTCAGACTGTCACCTTAGAGGAGGGTGGACTGGAGTGGGAGAGACTGAGGCAGGCAGACCCGCTAGCAGGCGATGGCAGTAGTCCAGGTGGGAGGTGAGGACGAGGGTCTGCACCAAGGTGATGGAAGGCTCAGAAGGCAAGAGGGAGCATAGGAGATACATTACAAAGGCAAAATTGACAGAACATGATGGCAGGATGGACAGATGGAGTGAGAGAATGAGGACTTGAGGATGGCTCTGGAGTTATAAGCTTGGGGACCCCAAGTCTTGCAACTCCAAGTGACTTGTAGTCATCTTCACCAATATATTCTATCACAAATCAACTCAACACATCCAAAACAGAGCTTTTTCCCTCATAAAGCTTCCCTCCTTCCAGCTTCCCTCTTTCTATTGATGGTGCCACCATCTGCAAAACTAATGCTATGGTCCCTCTCGAGTGGAGCCCCGACTAGGCTAGAGCTTTGGAGACTTTGAAAACTAAATTGACCACATTAGCTCTACCCAATCTAGAAAAACCTTTCACTCTGTATGTAGATGACAGGAGAGGACAGGCTTTGGGGGTCCTAACCTAGTCCTTAGGACCTGACCTGAGGCCAGTTGCTTATTTTTCCAAAACAATTCCAAAACATCAGCGGCTGTTGGGTGGCCTTCGTGCCTCCAGGAAGTGGCTGCTCCAGCCGTACTGTTCAAAAGCCATCTGACTGGCAGTAAGCTAGGAGAAACACCCGACAAGTTTGTTAGGCTTGCCCAACTTGTGCGCAGAGACTTTGGAATTTACTTGTGAATCCTTGGAGGACCTTAAGCTATTGTTTGGAAAGATTCCAGTCCCCTCCAGCAGACAGGTGGATAAAAAGAGGTGAAATCATACATGCCCTTTTCCTTTTATGTTTTTATCCTACATAGTCATCTTTAATTCCCTCCAGGGAATTCGTCTTCTCTATACTCCTTGTGTACCTGTTTGGTCTTTGTTTACTTAACCTCCTTGCCAGATTTGTCTCCTCCAGGGCCCTAGCCATCAATTTCCAGATGACTGCTCAGGCTATACCAACTTCCAACTGAGTCCAAAGTCTCTAGCCCACTGGACCTGGCATCCGCCAGATTCGGAAGTCTGACCCCTTGAACTGGACCCAGCGAGGCAGGATCAGCTCTGTGCCCCTTGCCAGCAGGAAGCAGTTTCAGAAGCTGAGACCCTTACCCCAAAAAGATTTGGGTCCCATTTGTCAATGGGCCCTAGAAAAACCCTACTTTGGACTCTCCTTGAACTCCCACTTGATCAAGGAAGGTTCTAGCGTTTGCCTGAGGCTATAATCCTATCAACTGGCCTTTCCTTATTGCCTATGCCCAATCTCCCAATTCGGTTACCCTTAACCCATCCTACCCCTCTTATTACCTCTGGGTGCCCCCCCCCCCGATCCTATCTAGACCCCATTCTCGCCTTCCCAGTCACTCCCATCAATATCCTCCCTAGGCCCTTCCAGTCACCCCCGCCTACTGGCCACTCCCATCAAGATATCCCTTCTCCCAGACCCCTCCTCCAGTCACCCCAAACTACTTGGCCACTCCTAGATCCCTCCCACAGTCTTTCTGTATATAAGGTCCATCTGGCCTCCGTTAAGGTGCTCAGATTCTTTAAGAGTCTAGCCAAGGGCTCAGATTCTTAAAATCTAGCCATGGGCTGAGGTTTACTGTAATGCACTTGTCAATTCGGACAAGCCTCACAAATGTTTAGATTCCTTAAGAGTCTGGCCAATATGGTGGATCTTTAATAAACCTTGTCTTTGGCTGAAAAAACAGCAACAACAACAACAACAAGAACAAAAACTGATGCTCTGGGATGAACTGAATGTCAGAACTTTAGAGCCATCCCTGACTTTCCTCCTCCTTACCCGTCTCTGCCACCATCCCACCCCAGCTCACCCCAAACCAGGCAGTTACCAAGTATTGTCAGTTGTGCCTCTATGACATCTCTCACATCCTTCCCCTTTTCTCCACTCATACCACCCCCACCATAGTTCAGGCCCTTATTACCTCCTAACTTGCCTGCCTGTCTCCAGTATTTATCTTTTCCAACCTGTTCTTCATACAGTTGCTTAAATAATATTCCTATTACGCACTTCCGACCTCTGCTAAAAAGCAAAAAATCAAAAACCTACCTTCAGGATAACATTGAGCTCTTAGCCTAGCATTCAAGGCCCTCTCTAAGCAGACTCTGACCTTCCTTTGCAATTTTGTTTCATATTACTCCTTTTCATCCATTCTGTGTTCCAGCCAAACTGAACTACAAGCCCGTGACTTCTACACAAGCCCTATTCCATACCTGAGATGCCCTCCCTCCTCACCTTGGCTTCTTTCAATCCTCTTCTTCCACCTAGATGCAGGCCAGGTGCCGCCTTGTTAAGTCTTCCCTGATTTCCTGCATTTGAGAACAGTCTCTACTCAACTTTTCCTAAAGTATTTTGGATCCCTCTATGCCTGTCACAGTGTACCTTTGTATTATACTTAGTTGTGTAGAAGTTGCATCCTCCCAGTAGATCATAAACTCCTAGAGGGTAGGAACTGGTATTTTTCATCTTTGTACCCACAGAACCTAGCACAATGCCTTATGCATCATAGCTGCTTAGTAAATAGTTATTTAATTGGAATAAATTTACAAGACAGATCTTCTGTTAGCTTCCAGTTTATTTAGGAGGGTAAGACAAACATACACGAAACAACTAAGGAACAAATTATAAGATAATCTATGTTCAGGCATATAATAATAAACAGAAACTGTGTAAGTGCTGGAGGAACACCGAATGAGACAGTCAGGACAGGTCAGGACAGGATCAGTTAGCCAGGAATGATTCTTGGAGGAAGTGAGTCCTGACCCAGACCGTGAAAGATGGAGCTGAGAGGGTATTGCTGGCTGTTTGACTGTTTTAAGCACAGAAATATGAATGAGTAACAAATATCAGAGGTAGGGGATAGCGTTTGTAGGGGACAGTGGACAGGACTGGCCTGACTGGAGGGCAGGGGCAGTGTCAAATAGTAATGAGTGGTGAGATTGGATAGATAATTGGAGGGATTGAATAAGGAAGGGTGAAGTCAGGCCGTCGATTGAAAGCTCTATTAATAAAGAACCCTTATGCATGGAATCAACATAGCATAAACAGTGTTTGAGGGAGATTGACCTGGTTTCCATTGGCATGATGGACCAGAGTAGGGAGAGCCAAGAAACTGGGGACTAGTTGGTAATCCAGGTGTGGAGTAAGGAATACTTGGGAAATGAATGTCCCAAAGAAGGGATGAATCAGACAGATGCCACGAAAGAAGACTTTGTCAGGACTCGATGAAGTTTTATACGTTCCCAGTGGAACGTGCCTGACTTGGCGATTACAGTCTCTGATGCTGTTTTATCTTGCTTTGTGTGTGTTTTGGGAGGTTCAATTATGAGTACACAGGGCTTCTGCCTGATATGTTGAAACAATCAATAAAAAAGACACAGGAGAAGAAGATACCAACAAATCATCTCCATGTGCCAATGGCATGGTTCCCTCTGGTTAGGGCTTATGTGGTCACTTCAGTGTTTTAAGACAGTTTGTGTCCTGTTAGATCTCATCAGAAAATTATTATTATTATTTTTTTTTTTTGGGCAGTTGGGGTTTAGTGACTTGCCCAGGGTCACACAGCTAGTGTCAAGTGTTTGGTCTGAGGCCGGATTTGAACCAGGTCCTCCTGACTTCAGAGCTGGTGCTCTATCCACTGCACCACCTAGCTGCCCAAAATGATTATTTTCAAATCATTTATTTATTTATTTATTTTTAGTTTTCAGTATTCACTTCTGTAAGATTTTGAGTGTTAAATTTTCTTCCCCTCCCTCTTCTCCCCCCTCCCCAAGATGGCATGCAGTCTGATGCAGGCTGTACTTATACATTCATATTAAGTATATTTTCACATTAATCATGATGTAAAGAAGAATTAGAACTGTTGGGAGAATGAAGCAATAAAACAAAACAACTAAAGAAAAGGAGAGCAAATAGTATACTTCCATATGTATTCAGACTCTTCTCTCTCTGGAAGTGGATAGCATTTTCCATCATGAGTTTTTTAGAGTTGTCTTAGATCCTTGCATTTCTGAGAAGAGCTGAGTCTTATCAAAGTCAGTCATCGCACAATGTGGCTGTTCCTGTGTATAATGTTCTCCTGGTTCTGCTCATTTCACTCACCATAAGTTCATATAAGTCTTTCCAGGTTTTTTTGAAGTCTGCCTGCTCATCATTTCTTATAGCACAATAGTATTTCATTACATTCATATACCGTAACTTGTTCAACCATTCCCCTCAATTTCCAATTCTTTGCCGCCACAAAAAGAATTACTATAAATAGTTTTGTACATGTGGGTCCTTTTCCCGTTTTTATGATCTCTTTGGGATACAGACCTAGAAATGGTATTTCTGGGTTAAAGGGTATGCACATTTTTATAGCCCTTTGGGCATAGTTCCAAATTGCTCTCCAGAATGGTTAGATCAGTTCACAACTCCACCAACAATGCATTAGTGTTCCAGTTTTCCCATGTTTTCTCCAACATTTATCGTTTCCCTATTTTGTCATGTTAGCCAATCTGATAGGTGTGATGTGGTACCTAATCAATAGTGATTTAGAGCATTTTTTCATATGACTATAGATAGCTTTAATTTCTTCCCCTGCAAACTACCTGTTCATATCCTTTGACCATTTATCAGTTGGGGAATGACTTGTATTCTTATAAATTTGACCCAGTTCTCTACGTATTTTAGAAATGAGGCCTATATCAGAGACACTGGTTGTAAAAATTCTTTCACAGTTTTCTGCTTCCCTCCTTATCTTGGTTGCATTGGTTTTTTTTGTGCAAAAACTTTTCAATTTAATGTAATCAAAATTATTTTGCATTTTGCATTTCATAATGTTCTCTATCTCTTGTTTGGTCATAAATTCTTCCATTCTCCATAGATCACTATTCCTTGCTCTCCTAGTTTGCTTATAGTATCAGTCTTTATGTATCCATGTAATCATGTACCCATTTTGACTTTATTTTGGTATAAGGTGTAAGATGTTGGTATATGCCCAGTTTGTGCCATACTATTCTCCAGTTTTCACAGCAGTTTTTGTTAAGTAGTGATTTCTTTATCCCAGAAGCTGGAGTCTTTGGATTTATCAAATAGCAGATTACTATAGTCATTGGTTGTTGTGTCTTGCATATCTAACCTATTCCACTGAACCTATTCCTTGTTTTTACTGTCTTAGGTTCGCATTGATGCTTTAGGTTTGCTCTGTGAAAGTCATCGCAGCACTGAAATTGTCTCTGTGGAAGAAATGCAGCTACTTCAGTTCTTTATTCTGTACAACCTGAATAGTCAATCTCCTGGCATGAGGCAGCAGATCTGTTCTCTCCTGCAAAAGGTGACCTTGAAGTACATTTATTAACCACTTACCTGTGTGCCTAGCAAGGTGCCAGGCACTTACCATAAATCACTATGATGCATTTCCTTACAGAGAGTGTTACTGGTATTTGTCAGTGGAATGGTAGGGGATAAGCCACAAGGTCACCTTGTCTGGGTGCCTTTTGAAAGGGAGGCTTAGGTACAGTCAGGGATAGAACAATTGACTTCAGGTCCCTCCTCAGCCCTCTTTATTAGAGGCTTGCATGATATGGTCTTCAAGATTAAAATTAAAGGTGGAAAATGTTATCATTGTTTACTAGCAGATTCATTTTCAATGGTTTTGTTGATATCACTCCCCTTTCTGTATACTTCTTTGTTGAGTTTTCAGGAATAGTTAGGTTGTTGTCTTTTTTTTTTTTTTTTTTTGAGGCAATCAGGGTTAAGTGACTTTTCCAAAGTCACACAGCTGGCAAGTGTCTGAGGTTAGATTTGAACTCAGATCCTCCTGACCCTAGGGCTGGTGCTTGATCTACTGCATTACCTAGCTTTGCCCCTGATGGGTTGGTTTTTACAAATCCTACCACCTGCCAGGGTTGTTGTGGGGATCAAATGAGATAGTATTTGTAAAAAGCACTTAGCATAGTGCCTGGCACATAATAGGTGTTATGTCAATGCTTACTCCCTTTCCTCGCCCTACAAATAGGCATAAACCCTTCTGTTTTCGTGGTATTTTTTACTCCTGAAGAGCATAAAGTGTTTTGTGGAAGCATCGTTATTGGATGTTTTATTTTCATTTCATCCCATTTGTGAAGCTGAGGGTAGACAAGTATCATAAACCTCAATTTGGAGATGAGTGAGGCTTAATTCCCAGAGAATATTGACATAGAGAAATAGGAGAACTTTATTTAAGTGGGTATCTGTTTTTAGGTTTTCAACATTATACATATTTATATGTATTTTATTATATATTTTTTATGTATACACACATATATAAAATCTGTAAATATACCTATGTATTTATACATACACACAGACCTAAAAGAGTGTGGGCACATAGTGATCACAACCCTATTGGTAAAACATTTTTAAGCATGAACCTTCTATATGGCTCTATATACTTATTCATAATTTGTGTATGTGTACTGCTCTATCAATAACTATGGGCGTTATAAAACTTATGCAAAAAATAGACATTTTGCAAAGAGTGAGGTAAAGATGAAATTATATTTGATCCTGGAGATATTAGGGAGCCACTGGAATTTATTGAGTTAGGGCAGTGACATGGACAGACTTGCACTTTTAGAAAATTCTTTTGGCAGCCATGTGAGGAAGGATTAGAGAAGTAAGACCCTTGAGGCGGATAATAATCCATACAAGATATGGTAAGAGTCTGAACTAGAGTGGTGGCTATGTGAAGAGAGAGAAAGGCAGAGATTTGAGAGCTCTAGTGGAAGTAGAAATGTCAAGATTTGGCAACTAATTGGGTGTGCGGAGTGAGGGAAAGTGAAGAGGAAAGGATAACAGCCAGGATGCTAACTTGGAGGGTGGTGGTACCCTCAACAGAAATCAGGAAATTTGGAGCAAGGATTTGGGGAGGAAGGGGATGGGAGGGAGATTCTTAGGGAACAGGAACATTAATTAAACAGAAGTTAAATGATTTGCCAAAGGTCACATACCCAATAAGTAGAACCAAATTTAAATTTAGGTCTTTATTCATTTATTCATTCATTCAGTAAACATTGATTAAGTATCCACTATGTGCCAGTCACTGTGCTAGTCACCCAGAGGCAGTGGGATAGAGTGCTAGCCCTGAATTCAGGAAGACCTTAGCATAGTGCCTGTGTATGTATATGTATGTATGTATGTATGGGAAGGGTGTGAGTGTGTGTGCATGTATGCACTCACATACACACACTTGCGCGCGCACACACACACACACATTTACATTGTTGTTGATAGTAAAGTGTTCCATAAAAGAAACACAGTTCAAAAAGGGTTCTAGAATCATTATTTTTTTTTATACTTAGTAAGTTTTAACTTACAGCCTGACATTTGTACTTTTATATCTTTCCTCCATTTCATTTTTATTTTTTTTCCTCCCAAAGTTGTTCAGCAGGATACAGGAAAGTTCTCAGGTACTTTACAAATTGGAGCAAAGTAAATCCCAGCAAGAATCAGTGAATGATTCGACTAAGAAGAATCCTTCTGAGACTTTACAGCAATATCAGGTAGGTAATAGATTTCTAGAAAATCAGAATTTTTTTTTTTAAATACAAGCAAAAAAATAGAGATGAGGTATTAAGGGAAACAAATGGAAGTCTCTTGGAGGCTGGTGGTTTTCTGTGCTTTTTTTATTCCCTCTTCCCCTACTCTACTTCTAGCTCGTGGGTCTGGTTGGACAAAAAATGCTTTATAAACCTTAAATTGTTAAAAATGTCTTAATGTGACTTGTCCTGACGATGGTGACCTTTGAAGGGACCTTAAAGACCATCTTGTCTAGGCCCCTCTTTTTAGAGATGAAATAACTCCCAGAAGAGCACAAGAACTCACCCAGATAAATGCACATAGCAATTAGCAGAATAGGAATTTGAACACAAGGTTTCTGGACCTCACTTTTTCTATAGTACTACAAGGCCACTGGGTTTGGATACTAGTATCTAAAGACTTGGAACACTGATTAGTGGAAAGATCAACAAACATGATTCCAGAGGACCCGTGTAGTGGCTTTATGACTTTAGGCAAGTCACTTTAATTTGCGGTTAGTATTCAAAAAAAATGCTAGACTTTGAGTTGAGAAGGCCTACGTTCAAATTCTGACTCTGATTTCTTCTGTGGTCCTGGTGCTAAGCAGAATCCTAGACTTCCAGCTATCCTGCCCAAAACAGTGGGCAGGAAGAAACTGATCCTTTTTGGGAAGATGATAATATACTTGTTTCTATTCTAGCCCTCTGTGATAGTAGGGAGGAAAGGGGCATCATGGAATGGTGGATAATGAGCCAATCTGGAGGTCAGGAAGGCATGGGTTCAAGGCCCATCTCTGACACATACTGGCAGTGTGATTCTGGGCAAATCATTTCCCTGTCCTTGCCCTGGGCACTTCTATAAGGCTCTGTGTTACTGAGGTGGCGTTGGCTTTCACTGGTAAAGGGAGTTTAGTCATCTAGGGTGTTCCCTTCATCAGTGAAATCACTGGTCCAATGCCTTTCTTTATTTCAGTGTAACACAGTAGGTCTACTTGCTGTTCTAGGAAACTAACAACCAATGGAGAAGTTTAGTCATCTCAAATCATTGATGTTTTGGGCTTTGCAGCCCTTTGACTGACAGGATCAAGAAACCCCTGCCCAAATGAGAAGCTATCTCTGTTCTCTTCCTCTGTCCCTCTAATTTGTTAAAAGTTTCTATGTTGTTTTTTTTTTTCCAGCCAAATACAAGGTTTATTTGAACATCCATCATATTGGGCAGACTCTTAAGGAGTCTGAACATTAGTAAGCTATTGGCTTATTGGCTAGATTATAAGAATCTCAGCAGTGGCTAGATTTTAAGAATCTAAGCCACGGCTAGATTATAAGAATCTGAGCCAAAAGTTTCTATGTTTGGAGGCTTAAAGTATTAGGTAAGGATAAACTGTGGTGCTGGGCTTGAAGTTGGAACAGCCTTGGTTCCCAGATCACCTCTGACACTAGCTGTGTGGCCATGGGCAGGCTTCTTCATCTTCTGAGCCATCTGTAAAGTGGGAATAATGATGACAGTACCCACCTCACAGTGCCATTGTACACTTTAAGAACCTTAATGAACTATATCAATGCCATTATTACTATATAAATGTCACTATCTATTATCAACATATCAATGTAAAATAGAAATATTGTGATTACTGCTGTTGTTAAGTTTCACAAATAGCCTTGAATTGCTTTATTGTTTTGTGAACATTATATGTCTCAGGAAGCAGGTGCTAAATTCTACATAGACTCTCTTTTTGTTGCAAGGATGTTAAGTATATGAAGCTTTAGACTTTTTTTTTTTAAACCCTAGAGTACCCGTATGAAGACCCTTAGCTTTTTTTTTTTTCTGTTTGGGAGCAAGACTGATTTGCACATTTAAGATAGACACTTTAGCAAAGAGACTGATTCCCACACACTCACCATCAATATGGAGGCAGATTTTCAACAGCAGTTTGTAGACAGAGCTCAGTGCTAGGTGCAAGGGGAGATGTGTAGATAAGTAAAACACAGCCCTTGTCCTCATGGAACTTACAATTTCCTGCTGGGGCGGGGATGCTCTTTGTACAGATATGCGGTAACTCTTAAACCCTTAAAAAGAATAATAAACTCTTGAGTAAAGAGTTGGACTGTCTTCTAGATCTAAATCTATGACCCTGTAATGTTCAGAGTGTGAGGCAGGGTTGAAGTGCTCTGTGGGTTTTGAGGTGGAAGAGATTATTTTGTCATAGTGGATCTGACATGAGGAGGTAGCTTTTGAGCAGGGTCTTGGAGGATGGGTGAGATTTTAAAAAGTGAAGCTGGGAGAAGGTATTTCAGGCCTAGGGAGCAGCATGAGCTAAGACATTGAGGCAGAAGAGTAATACATGTCCAATTAGGATGGAAGCATGTGTGGAGTGGTGTGGGGACAGAGAGGGAAAGGTGGGGAAGTCATTCATTTCTTGTGGCCTTCACTCTGAGATTCCATTCCATTTCTACTGTGTTAGGTCTTATATATAAATAGTTATTTGCCTATTTTCTTCTCCATGAGAAAGTTAGCTACTTGAGGGCAGGGACTGTGTTTTTGCCTTTCAGTGCATCCCCAGGGCTTAGCACAGTGCCTGGCATATGGGTGATTTATAGATTTTTTTGACTGACTCCCTGACTGTTGAAAATCTTCTTCATTTAGAAACACTCTTCCAAATGCTTCTCTGAAGATACTCATTTTCACCTCTTTTGAGTTAACTCTCCTGTCTGTTGTAACTTTTGTTGTTGTTGTTTGTTTTAGGATTTCATGTCATCTGTATGCAACAGTCTTTTCAGAGCTCTATTTCCTGGCTCTTCCCACTCAACCAAGTTTTCAGCCTTAACCATTTTAGTCTCAATAGCTGAATTGTTTCCTGTCCCAGAAGGTAAGTTTTCATTGTAATTTGAGGGGAAGATATTTTTTTTTTTATGAAGACAGATTATGTTCCCCAAAAGTCAAAAAGTTTTGGTTCTAATTAGTGGGGATTCTTTTTTGTTTGTTTTTTGTTTTTGTTTGGCTTAATGAGGGAGGTTTTGACAAGCTAGAATAGATCTTGTTTAGACACAATCAGATTTCTCAACTGGGGAAATAAAAACCCAGCTTTTTAAAGTGGTTATTACTAACCGGTAACTGGTTTTCATGGACGAAGCTGACTTTTAGGCAGGATCACCCACAACCATTTCCCCCAGATAGTATCAGTCTATTCTTTTAAAAAAAAAATCATAAAAGAGTGATTGTTCTTTCTGCCTTATAGAACATCCCTAGCAAGGCTTTGTGGCTGAAATGTGATTCTTCTGTTTGCTCTTTGTCCCACAAGTCTTTGGTGGTACAGACACTGGCTTCTTGCAGAGTCACAGAGGTCATACCTCACACAGGTTACAGAAAGTCAGTGTCAGAGTGGCATTTCCAGGTACTCTGGTTTTTAAACATTTTTTGCATTTTTTTTTCTTCCTGTGGGAGATGAACATTTGACTTTTCTTTTTGAGTCATTTTTTTTCCATTTGATGTGAGACACTATGTTTATGTATGTGCAGGGTTTCTTTTGTGTAAGAGCCTTGCAAACCATTTCCTTTATGTTTTTTGGTTTGGGGTTCTGCACCAGCAGTTGGCACAAACTGAGAAGCATGTCCCTTGCTAGTACCACTCTGCCAACAGCCTGTTAGAGGGCATTCAGTTTAGGCAGGGGCAAAAATAGTCTCTATGTGTTTGCATTCATCTTAAATAAAAGTCTAGCTTGCCTTAAGAAAGGACAAGAAGGCATTAGCAGCTGGGGAATTGGGAAATTCATATTCAAATTCAATTTAAAAATCCATGTTCATGTAAAATATGGTGCTTGAGTTGAATTTTGAAGGGAACCAGCAATTCTGTGATTGTTACATTGACATTTAGTAATACCTGTTTGAACTTTTTATAAGTAAAATAGTTGAATATATTTGATTATGTTATGTCTTATATATAAGTAGTTATTTGCCTATTTTCTTCCCCATAAGAAAGTTAGCTGCTTGAGGGCAGGGACTGTGTTTTTGCCTTTCAGTGCATTCCCAGGGCTTAACACAGTGCCTGGCACATAGTAGGCAATTTATAAATTCTCTTGATTAAGTGAAACATAATTAGATAAAGCAGGGGCTCCTTTGTCTTTTTTTGGTGTCATGGACTTTGGTAGTATGTGAAGCTTATGGACACCTTCTCATAAAGATATTTTTAAATGCAATGCAAATAGATTACAGAGGAAACCAAAGGAAAATGAAAATAAAGATGTAATCGTTTTCATAGGGACCCAGTTCAGAACCTCTGGGATGAATGACCTAGTCTGTTATAGTAATTGTGGTTATTAGACAACTGGAAAGAACTATAATTGGAAGTATCTACTCTCACAATGTCAGCCTATCACCATATATGTTGTTATTGCATAAATTGTTCTTCCAACCCTCACATTTTACCGGTGAGGAAACTGAGGCAGAGAGAAATAAAGTGAACTGTGCATGGTTGCCCAGCTAGCAGGTAGAGATTCAAATCCAGGTTTTCTGACCCTAGAACTGGGCTTATTCTGTTGCTCCATGCTGGCCCCTCTGGTCCAGAGGATAGAAATACCTTCTAGCCACGGTGCCTAGGGTAGGCTTTGTGTGCAGAGTTGGTGCAGGTACAGAATTTGGATAGATGAAGGGGTATTTGGGAGCACAGCATAAGCAAAGGCAGGGATTTGGAAATATACAAAGCATATTATTTAGGGAGCAGATTCACCTGACTGGAATGGAGAGTATGTATTAGAATGGGAGGTCTGGCAAGAATAGTAGATTGGTTACTTATGACAACCAAGTATCTGTTGTAATGAACAGTATTTTCTGTCTCATTTACTTAACATGGTTGTTATTCATTCAATCTAACAAACATTTATTAAGCACCTACAAAGTACCGTGCAAGGTGCTGGGGATGCAAATGCAGAAATAAAACAACCCCCTCCTTCAAGGATATAGCCTCTGCCTATATTCTCTTGGGAATAATATCCTATTCTACTTTACATGATTTTAGATAAAGATGGTAGTACCAGTGGATCATGGTCTAGGCCCAACTTTGTTACTGTCATCAAATATTTATTAAATGAACTCTCTGCTTCGATGCTAGGGATATGGAAAGGTTGAAGGTGTGGTTCCTGCCTTTGAGAAGGTGTAACTTAGATGGGAAGACAAAACATTTAAAAAGATAAGCAGAAATTTAAAGGAGCTTAGATAATAAATGCTCCAGGAGGGGAGAAGAGGGAGAAAGTGACTGTTGAGCTTACTGTGTGCAAGGCCACCATGCTTTGGATGCAAGGATAGATGTAAGCTGCAGCCTACTCTCAAGGAGTTTATGTCTGTCAGTAGGCAACTCAGTGACTCTGTAGAAAGAGCGTGGGACTTGGAGGCAGGGAGAACTCAATTTGAATCCTGCTTTGGGTACCTGTTACTAGCTGTGTGACCCTGGGCAAGTCATCTCAGTTTCATCATCTGCAAAATGGGGATAATAATAGCGTCAACCTCACAGGGTTGCTATGAAGAGCAAATGAGATAATGTGTATAAAGAGCTTTGCAAACCTTAAAGCTTTACATCAATGCCAGCTATTATTCTAGCTGTTCATAGAAGGATGAATGAGATAAGTGCAGAGGAGATAATCTGGCAAAATGCCATGAGGATTTTTCAGTTTTTGGGGGAAGGGAAGAAATCACAGGTTAAGGGAAGGCTTCATGGGGAAAGGAAGATTTGGGCTGGGCCTTGAAAGAAGAGAGGGACGTCAGCAGACAGAAGCAGAGGCTCTAAAATCCATTCCTAGCAGGCGGGACAGCATGGGCAAAGGGACAGAAGGAAGGAAGCAAGATGGAGACAGGGAACAGAGTGACCCGGTTTACTTGAGCATAGACTAGATTTGATAAAACTTCAAGAAAGGAGTTGAAGGAGTTCAGAGGCCCATGACAGTGAGGGAGGAAATGTTGGGGAGCCCTAAGGAGAGAAGAGAAGTCTTGGAACAGAGATGGAAAGGAATGTGGCAGAGTCATTAAGAGATGAAAGCTAGCGTTGCTGTGAAGCACTCATTTATTTAATGAAGATGACCGCCAGTGTATTTTATGACATCAGAAGCGTTATATAAGGAGAGAGTAGAGAAAGTATGTTTGTTATGTTGAGGTATGCGTTTGTGGTTAGGAGATGGTGTTTGATCTTCTGTTTTAATTTTTTCAAATCTTAACAAATAATTGTAAAGTTCCTTTCACTTTTATTGAAAGATATGTACTTGTTTTTGTTTTTAAATTAGGTAAAACTCAAGCAGTGTTTCAGCTGAGTCATGAGATTGATTTTGCCCGAGTTGAAACAATAATGGAATGTTTTTCAAGCACTTTTGAGGAAGTGAAAATTTTAGCATTCAATCTTTTGATGAAGTTACCAAAAACTGTCACACGTATTCAGGTATTTGGAGGTTTTATTTTTTTCCCACCCATGTAAATGTCCATTCATTGTAGGTAGGAACAACTTCTAATTTTTAGATATCCAGAGCCGGAAGCATCTTAGAGGTGGCTCAGTCCAATACCCTTATATTACAGATGAAGAAATTGAGGCCTAGAGAAACTGAATCACTTGAACAGGGTTATGTAGGTACTGAGTTTCTGAATCAGAATTCAAATGCAGGTCCTCAGACTCTAGAAAGATAGAAAGATTTGAAGCAGGAAAGGAACTTTAAACACCATTTAGTCCAATCCTTTCCTTTTTTTCAGAGGAAGAGAAAGAGGACAAAAAAGGTGAAATAACTTGGCCAAGGTTTTATAGGTACTAAGTATCTCAGTGAGGATTTGAACCCAGGTCCCTCAGACTCTAAAACCAATATTTTTTCTGCTGCCCTATCAGGGACAGAGAATCTCATTTGTGGATCATCCAGGCCCATTGTTTCTCCTCTTCCTGTGTCTTTTGAACATTTCATTTATCACTAATGGACCTATTAGAATGTAGGTAGAATGTCAGAGGACGTTAGGAAGCAAAAAGAAACCTTGTTTCTTATGATCCACTTGGATCAAACGTTGTTGGATGGTGGAAGTAGCCATAACTATTGGCCAAAAGGATTGTGTAGGATTTTCTGACCATTTTATTTACCCAAACTATTCCTTCCTTGAAGAAAGAAATGTTTAAGAGTTAGTTATAAAAATACGAGGTCATTTTGTCTTTGATTCCAAAACACACCACCAGCAATATTTAAGGAATTTTTGGAGCCTCTTCTTTAGTAGATTGAAAAGCTGAATTAGTGATGAGGTAAGTGACATGTTGCTGGCCCCAAAGCCAGTAATAGTTAAAATGGAGAATGAAACTCAGAAATTCTGACTATTTGAACTTTACTCTAACCCAGTTCTTAACCCACATACCCTTCCCTCACCCTCACGTATTACACCCACTTCTCTGACTTGGGTATGGGAGCTTAATTAAGGCTTGCTTCTTTAACCACTGCACTTACAGTATGGGGATATCTGTAATGAGCTGCGTATATTGGGAACTTCCCAGGTTTAAGCTGTCCAGTTTTGTGTCTGGGCAGATATTCTGGGGCTCCTGCTGGAAGTTGTTTCTGGAAACCAGCAAAATAGCAAAACTGGGGGTTTGCTGTGGCCTTTCTATTTTCAGATCTACATAGGTGTGATGGCGGGTGCTGGGGCTGTCTTTGAGCTGTGGTCTGGCCCTAAAGCTGTGAGCTTCTAATTTTAGTTGTCCTGGCCATCAGAACTGGGTGGATGCTACAGTAGCACACATCAGGGAAAATGATGGATGAGCAAATGAAAAAATATTTATTAAGCACTTACTATGGTGCCAGGGCTGGGGCTGTATGGTGGGCATACAAACAAAGACTAAGATAGCCCCTGCTCACACAGTCTAATGGGGGAGTGGCATGTGGAGAGGGCTGTGGGCCCTTAGGATGTAGCAGTAAAGCTACATCATCAGTGCATCATCTTCAGCGTCATTTCCATTGATAAATCCTTACCCATTTCTGAGGTAGAATCATTCACCAGTGCCAGAGACTTTGGGGTTGTGGGAAGTATCTCTTCTGTTTCCCTGTGGCATTGTTAGGCTGCAGAACATCTTCAGAGCTGGTGTCTTTGCCACGGGACTCATTGAGGAACAATTTATTCTGTGTCTCCTGTGTTTGAGACACTGAGATGTTTCGTCTTGCCCCACCCTCACACTTGTTTCCCTTTTTGTGTAGTTTTTCTAGTGGGACAGAGAGCCAGACTCTCCATGTCCAGGATTGCTTGGGCTGTGTGTAGTCCTGCCATTCTCATGGGATGAAGACTCCTTGAGACTTCATTGGCATCCCAGTGTCTTATTGTTTTTAAGCCTCTCCCCTTACTCTGGTTCTATACCATTTACAGACACGTTATTGCCTGAATACCTCTTTCTCTCTCTCCCCCTCCACGTTCTGTCTTTCTCCCTCTTTCTCCCTCCTTCTCTCTGTCTTTTTCCCTCTCTCCTCTCTTTTCCTGTCTGTCTTTCTCTCTCTCTCTCTCTTCCTCCTTCCCTCTCTTTCGCTCCCTCTTTCTCTTTCCTTCCCTTTCTCTGTCCCTCTCTCTCTCTCTCTTTCTCTCTCTCTCTCTCTCTCTCTCTCACACACACACACACACACACACACACACACACACACACACACTCTCTGTGAGACTTAAAAAGATCCATGACTTCATTGACATGAGTATCCTTATCACCCGGCGTAGATCCCTCTGTGCCCTAGTAAGTGGTCTTTATGATTTATTTCTGATGGGGATAGGACTGACTTGTGATTTCATCGGCACAGGGAACTTCGAGATGAGAACACTTTCTTCTGTCGTTATAGGTTGGCATCTTCTCTGCAGCTTAGAGGGCTGCCCAGAGCAGTCCTGTCAAACTCTAATAGCAGCAGATTCCTGCAGACAGCATATCGATTTAGAAAACCACAAATTGGCATTATCTATGTTGTGTGATTTTATTTCTCTTGTTAAACATTTTCCAATTGCATTTTAATCTGATTCCTTTTGGGAACTGCCAGTTTGACATCTTTGGCCTAGAGCACTGAGAGATTAAGTGTCACCAGGGTCACCCAGGAAGTCTATGTCAGAGGCAGATCTTCCTGTCTCTGTGGCTGGCTCTCTATCTCTGCTCCACCATGTTGCTTCTCAAGCATGTGTGTGTGCGAACACATCATGTAACATCGTGACTTAATGTTCCCAACACATATGATGAAATTCTAAGTTATGATCCTCAAAGCTATTCTCAATTTCTGTCCAGGCCTCTGTTACTATCATTTTTTTTTTTTAACAATTCATAATTGTTAAAACAAAATTGATTTGTAATATAGTAATATTAAGTAGTAATATTAACAGATACAGAAACTGAAGAATGTGGATGCTTCAGTGAAAAGTGACTCAGTCTGTTTTTGACTTTTAGGATTCTTTGAAACTGCAAGCCTTGTTCCATGCAGCAATGGACCTGAGCACCAGTACCAAACCGTATGACTGTGTCACAGCTGCCTATCTGCTGAGGTTCTTAATTGGTCAAGAGGGCCTGCTGGCAGCCCTGGCTGCTTTCTTTAACAATTCCCCTGGGCCTTCACCCTGCCAGAGAGGTGGAGAGGAGTCTGTTGCTTTTGTGGAAAGGAACACATTAATGGGTTTGTATAGAGTTAAAGACCATTTAATTGCATTTGTCAAACCATCTGTCTTACAATACCTCTCTTCACTCTAGTACAATATTTATTGAAAATTAAACATTTAAACTTTATACAAACACCCTCTTTTCCTCAATAGCTTTCCAGTAAAAGTATGCCATGTATATCCATTATTATATTATGTTATATTATATGGCTATATCATATTATATATCTTAATCTATATTATATTATATTTATGTTATAATATATTATCTTATGCTATATAATATGTAGTGTTATGCTATGCTGTATTATATTACATAATATACTGTCATGCTATGCTGTACTATTCTCTTATGCTATGTTATATTAAATATATATCATATTATTATACATGCTATATTATATTGTACTATACTATATTATTATATCATTCTGCCTATGCTATGCTATATTATACTATATTTTATGCTATGTTATATTAAAACCTTGTGCGTATCAGCAGCCTATCCAGCTTTGAGTTTACTCTCAAAGTCCTTTTTCATAGCTTTAAAGATGTGCATTTTAGGGCAGCTAGATGGTACAGTGGATAGAGCACCAGCCCTGAAGTCAGGAGGACCTGAGTTCAAATGCTGCCTCAGACCAACACTTGACACTTACTAGCTGTGTGACCTTCAGCAAGTCACTTAACCCCAATTGCCTAGAAAAAAAATAAAGAAAAAAAAAAGATGTGCATTTTAAAATACTTTTTATCCTTCATAATATTGCTGTGCTAATGTAGTTTTAAGGCAAAAAAATCCACAGTACCTTAGTACTTTAAAATAATGCATTACATTTGCTTTTGGAAACAAAGTAGGGCATATATCTGTTATCTCTATCCATGGTCTTAGTTGTTATGTATATGAGTATTTCTGTCTTTATTTCTTTCTTTTTCTTTTTCTTTTCTTTTTTTTTTGGTGAGGCAGTTGGGGTTAAGTGACTTGCCCAGGGTCACACAGCTAGTAAGTGTCAAGTGTCTGAGGCTGGATTTAAACTCAGGTTCTCTTGACTCCAAGGCTTGAGCTTTATCCACTGCACCACCTAGCTGCCCCAGAGTATTTATATCTTTCTAAAAAAAAAAAAAATGCACGTGCAATACACATTCCGAAGCTCTTGTGGGTCTGGGTGCTTCTTTCCATCCCCTTCCATCCTTGGCTGAGTAGTTACTTAGTTGCCAGTTCTAGCTCATGAAATTGTTCAGCCGCACTCATCATCAAAGGGCATCATGCATCTTTGTCTGTAAGAGGCCTAGAGATAGCCCTGTGAGAAGGAAGGATGTGGGACCAGAATAGGGGAGGGCAGAGAAAAGCATAGAGAGGGGAATAGGAATTATTCTCACAAAGGTATTAGGGAAAAAAACACATGGATAGAGTAGTTCCTGGTGTGGGGGAAAATGGGGTAGTTCTGGGAGGTATGACCAGGGCAATGGTGAAAGATGATAATGTGACACTATCAGGTTGGAGCAAGTGGTTTTTAGAGCTGAATATTGCAAAAAGGATAAGTAAGAAATGACATTAGATTTAACTTCGAAACAGTAATCTTGCCAAAAAATTGGAGTACAGACAACATAACCTTTTTTTTAGTGAAAATCTCCCACTTCGATCAAAGGTTTGGTTTTTACAGATTTTTTAAAATTTATTTTTAATTGAATTAATTTTTAAAAAATGAACTGTCTTTTTCTTGTCCTTTCTTCTCTCTCTTCTAGTTATTAGGCATCTTTTAGAAAATCTGGAGAGAGAAATATCACAGGCTGAAAGCTCTCTACTGCAGGCGGCAGCATTGTTTCCTATGTATGGGCGAGTTCACTGTATAATAGGGGCTTTTCAGCAGTTGTCTTTAAAGTAAGTTGATTTCTTTTGAAAAACTCATTAGGGAAGATGACTGACCACGTCGACTTTTAATTTTAAGTTGGATTTGAGATACAGTTTAATTAATGATGACCAGCAGAATGTTTTATTGTCTTATGAAATTTTAATGTGGATTTATTTAATTAACTAATTTTCAACAAGAACTCACCAGTCTTAAGATTTTAAAAAATTGTGTGGGAATTGTGTGTGACTTTTTTTGTTTTTTAAATTTTGGTAAACTTCCTTTTGCTTTGTATGCTTAAATTCATCCCTCTGGTTTTCCTTGAAGCAACCTGACATTGGTGACTGAATGGAGACACATGGTGGCCAAGCTCATTTTGATGTCCTATAGGCTTTCTGCTGTGGTGGCACCAGTGGTTCAGAGTTCTTCCCCAGAGGGCCTCATTCCAGTGGACACTGATTCAGGTAAGACAAACAAAGAAAAGAAGATTAAGGGTTCTTTGAGCCATAGATTTGGAGTCGGAAGGGACTGTGAAGATCAGAGCCCCTCATTTTACAGATGAAGTAGCTTGCCCAAGGTTTGCTCGCTCAAATCTTCTGACTGCAAATCAGCGTCATTTCTATTGGGACATATTCCCACTTGCAGTGGTTTAATTTTTATAAAAATAATTTTACTGCTCCATCGATGTAAATCCTAAGTTATAAAGAATTATGATAGTAATAGTAAGGGAATTTATGCTTTATTGTTAGAATTTGTTAACAGAAGGACCTGGATTTGAATCTTTTCTCTGCTGTTTGCTCCCCAAGCAATTTTGGGTGAGGTGTTTCTTGACTTCACTTTCTTCATCTGTAAAATGAGGGGATTGGATGAGGCGATCTCTGGTCTCTTCCAATTCTAGCTCCAGTGATCCAGTGAACAGTGAGAAACGCGTCTTGTGCTGCCTAAGTGCAGCCAGTAATAAAGGTAGTTTTCCCTTAGGGGGATTTGGATTCTTTCTTGGGCAGCGTCATGATCATGTGGATCATGGTCGAGGAAGGGTCAACAGGCAGGGTCTGTACTTGGGGAAGGGAGGTAGTAGCGATGAGTTATGCAGTTAGCAAAAACCAGAGAATCCACGGGAAGCAAACAGAAGGCACAGTATGAGGCATGATGAGAAGGCAGGCTGATGACACCACAAGGTTCTGGGGTAGGCTAAGGCTTCTCCTGATCCCAGTGACAGAACTCGGGGTAAGAGCAGCTAAATAACCTTCATGGGAGGACAACTGCCCAACCAGAGAGGATCCTGATAAGCTATGAGACTGTTGCTTTGGATCAGTACAGATCTAGGAAGGACTTTTTCTTTTGGATTTGAAGTCAAATACAATTGAATCACCCCTCTGGTGCCGAGTTTTCTAAATGTAACTCAAAGCTCAAATGACAGGTACATTTTTGGGGTAGCCAATAAACATGGGAGGGCTGTCTTAGGCTGATTTGGCGCCATCCCTATCAAACCCAAAATGTGTGCTTCGATCAGGAAATGTTGCATCTTAATCTTTGCTAAAAATGAGCTGGAAAAGAATTTGACACTGAGATTCCCAAGATTGGACTCTACTCCTTGCTTTGCTGTCTGCCTAGGGACTAAACCTCAGCCCTTTCCTTTCTCATCTGAACAACGGGGGAAAACAACCATACTTGTAGATAGTGGTTGGCCTTGGATAAGCGCTAGCATCTGCTGCCAGGAGCCCTCCCTGGTTTGGGTTTTACTATCTGGTACTTCCAGTGGATGGGACAGGGCTGGCAGGGTTAGCATGAATGATTGCTATATTCTTATAAATATTATTGTTTATAATAAGAATAAGATAAAAATTATCTTATAAATAAAACGCTTTTTCTTATTGATAAGGAATTTAAAATACAACACACATCTTTAGGCCTCAAACTCTGTTTTTAATGTGGCTTTTTGTTGTTGCCTGTACCAAAACCTTAGGGAGCGCACGAAGTTTACTTTAAATTCCCACAGAGTTCTCCCAGTATAGTACCCAACCAAAAAACCCAAGTATTTTATGTTTATTGTAGCCTCGCCTTCTTTTCCTTCATTTGTCTGGTCCATATCCATTTGTATAGCTTTAATAAATCATCCCTGTTCTCTATCTGCTTCAGAAATGCATTAGGCTGGAAGGAAAAAATTTAAATGAAATCACAACTGAGTACAAAATGGGAATTTTTTTGTCACAAGGAACACTGCCTGTTACACTTCTTACCTCTTCCAGTGCCTGGCACTGTGCACAGCATAAATTAGGTGTTCAGTAAATGTTTGTTCATTGATTATTAGTGGTGTCTTAGGGAGTACAATCTAATTTTAATATCATTCTGAGTTTAGAACTATAAAGCTTCTGCAAAAAAAAAAAAGTGTATTCTAAATCTAAATATAGCTTTAATAAAGTATCTGCAATTTTAAAAAATTGAAACAATTTTAGTTTTTAAAAACTATTTAATAATTTAGTAGTTTAAATTTAAATTAAAAATAATAGTTTAAAATTAAAACTAATTTATTCATTTGTAGAAATAATGTATAAATTATATTCAAAGGAAAAGTGAGTTTTCTTCTCACAGCTGAGATGAACTATAATTTTACTAACCCCAGGGATACAGTCCCTTCTCAGCTATAGTAGTTGTATTTTTTAAATCATGGGAACAGATATAAGAACACATAGTACACAATTACATACTCTAGTTGTCCTAGTTAATTTTTTTTTAACAAATTTGATTGTAAATGATATTTTTACAAATTACTTCAATCATGTATATGACTTCAGTAATTAAATTTTTGCTGCTATACAAGTATTTTATTAAGACCTTGTATAAATAACTTTTGTAGAATCATAGAATCAGTGAGAAGGGACCTTAGAAATCATTTAATCTAGGGCCAGCCTGGAGTTCTTAACCTTTTTGTGACATGAACCCTTTTGACAAGTCTAGTGAAGCCTCAGGACTCCTCAGAATCATATGTTCCAAGGAGACCAATTATACTGACATACAGGGATCAAAATATTTTTAAAAAATAAGTTTGTGGATCCTAAGTTAAGAACCATTGCTCTAGTCCAACACCCTCATTTTCCAGATGAAAAAACTGAGGCTCAGGGAAAGTAACATGATTTATTCAAGGTCACAGATTTAGTTAGAAGCGGGTCTGCTGACTCCAGATTTAGTGTTCCTTCCATTATGACAGCTGACTTGTCCCCTTCAAGTGTGCATAGCCTTTTTCTGCCCGCAGGGACAAGAGGCATCACCTCTGTCTTCAAGCTGGAGCTGAGGTCACACCCTCTTCCACTGTCCCTGGCACACTCCCAGTTCTCCTGTGGAGTACACACACACACACACACACACACACACACACACACACACACACACA